CCCCTTTATTACTAATTTAAAAGAAAACTGCAGTTTTCGAACTATAAGTTTGTTGGGCTTAAATAAAATCATTTATTTTACTTTAAATACTAGAGTGCCCTTAAAAATAATAAAGGTAGCTTAAGTTAATGAGCTAAAAGTTAATAGAAACAATAACTTTATTGTTTTACAAGATTTCGAGGAGGCTAATTTATAATAAAGACAGCAGAGAGTGAAAGTTCATCAGTATTCTAAAGGCCATCATGATTGGCCAGTAAATTTCCTACTATGGAACTCCCAGATTTCCTGTTTATTACCAGATCCTAGAACCCTATCAATATTGTCTCTGCTGTATAAATAGCTCTGAGTAGTGCAATATTGCTTATAGGGTTTTGGTATTTGGGAAAAACAATGGGCAGGCTGTAGAAACTACAATATATAGCTAAAAGTGACACGCAAGTCTTCTTTTGTTTAGGAAGAAAATAGTGGCATCTAGATTTCATGGTAGACATTAAAATCTGAGATTAAAACATCATTTTTTTTTTTTTTTTTTTTTTTAAGACAGCTTCTTGGTGTATAATCCAGGCTGTCCTGGAATTCAATGTGTAGCTCAGGGTGGTCTGAAATTTGAAACAATCCTCCTGCCTCAGCCTGGTTTTTTTTTTTTTTTTGAGACAGGGACTTGCTCGTACCTCTGGGATTGTACAGCATGCCTGGCTGCCTAAGCCTTCTGAATGCTGGAATTATTAGTAGGTACCACCGTGCCTGGCTCCAAATTTTAATTTACTGGAAGGCAGCGTTTATCTTTTGTAAGTTTTTTTGTTTTTTTTTGTTTTTTTTTGTACCAGGGATTGAACTCACAACCTTGCGCTTGCCAGGCAGGTGTTTATGCCACTGAGCTAAGTCCCTGGTCCCATCTTTTGTAAGTTTTAACATTTTGGTAAGTTAAACAGGTTTATTTGTAGTATAAGGAAGTAGAATTACAGTGTGGAGAGCTTCCTTTATTACAACTCTCATGTAATAGGAGAGACCCAGAGAGATGAGGACTCACCTAAGGCCATATATGGTTAGTGACATTAGTTAGGACTAGAACTTCTACTACTTAATCCAGTTCTTTTCATTTTTCTGTACCACAATATTAAGTTGTGTTCAGAGGGAATTTTTAATTGATTTTTTTAACTTTAGCAATATTCTATCTAAAACTTTTAAAATAATTTTAAGAGTTTGTATTTTTTTCGATATGTGTTCTTCTTTCCCACCTCCATAGTATTGGAGATGAAACCCAGAGCCTTCAGTGTGTTACAACTTCCGCTCTTTTTATTTATTTTGTCACAGGGGTTTGCTAAGTTGCTAAATTTCCCAGGCTGGTCTTGAACTTGTGCTTCTCCTCTTTAGCGTACCAGAGTGCTGGCATTTTAGGCATGCACCACAACACCTGGCTTTTTATTTGTTTTAAGAGCATATATAATTTTAGTCTAAGTACATAAAAAAATCAAAGTAATGAGAGTTGAAGTACATGCAAGTCACTTGGACTGTTACATTTAGCATCATTTTTTTCTTTTTGTTTCCCACTTACTACTAGACCAGTGGTGGTAAATTTATGGCATGGGTACTGCAGCCAACTGTTTGTTATTGAAAACTCTAAAAGGTTTGCCATCACTAGCATAGATCACTGACTTCAAAAACATACTTGGGGGTTGGGGAAAAAAGAAGAATCAAGATATACTATGTACAGGTACAAATTCCCTGTCAAGAATGTGATTATTATATATATCTAAGATGTACCAATAAAATTAATTAAAACAGAACAAAAGAAGCTAATACTTGCCCTATGTATAATCATAACATGTTGGTACAGGTTTTCACAGAGGATAACATTTTACTCTCAAGCTTTTTTCTTTTTTTCTTACAAAAAATTTTTTTTAATGTACTCTTATTGTGGAAGTATAAAGTATAGTAGACAAGTAGGTATAATTTATATATCAAGATATCAAGTTGTGCATCTTAAATATGTTTAATTTCTATTTGCCAATTATACCTTAAAGTATAACATGAGTTTAATTTCCTATATTCCTTAATATAAATAGTACTAATTCTTGATATAAATAGTATTAGTAATTGCAATGATGAATAGCTAGGAATATGTATTTCTTTGTACTATTTCTTAATGTTTAATGCATTATTCATCAAATTAGTAGAAGGACAAACTTCCACTCTGTTTTTTATGCCCAATAATTGTTTTTAAATTGCATTGAAATATATATAACATAAAATTTACCGCATTAGCTGGGCATCGTGGTATTTGCCTATATCATAATCCCAGCATTTGGAGGCTGAGGCAAAGGGATCACGACAAATTCAAGACTGGACTGTATTATATAGCAAGACTCTTTCTTAACAAAAACAAAATGAAATGCAAATTTAACATTTAAGTGGGGCGTAGCAGTGCACACCTGTACCCAGCCTTTGGCAAGTTGAGGCTAGGAGATCCCAAGTTCAAGTTGCACTTGTTCTACACCACACCTAGCTATACTTTTAGAATGTCTAGGATTGTATGTATGCCATAATTCCTGACTCTGGTAATTTCATTTTTAATTTTTTGAGTTTGCTGTCTTATAAAGTATCTTTAAAATTCTGGTTGTTTTCTGAAATATTTTCAAAATAGAAGCATTGCCAGATTATCTAAATAGGCCTAGGAATTTAAAAGTTCTTTGAAATCAGGCCTAATAATATGTGCTTATGATTCAGTTTTGTTTTGTGAGGTTTGTTTGTTTGTTTGTTTTTGAGGCAGAGAATTGGTATATAGGTCAGGCTGGCCTTGAACTCTTGCAATCTTCTTGCCCTAGCCTCCCAAACTTTCTTAGTTTCTTAGATTGGGAGGCTGAAGCTGGTAGATTGATGGAGTTCAGGATTTCAAGCCAGTGTGGACAATGTAGCAACATCCTCATCCAAAAGAGGAAAAAAAAAAAAAACCCTTTTGAAAGCAGTGATTTGCCTATAAATGTTTATAGCAACTTGCTGGGAGGCAGGGTTAGTTTAAAATGTGTAATGTCTTAGGTTTTGGGCTAGGAATGGGAGACCATGCCTGAGGAAGTCATGTAGCAAAGTCCCAAAGTGCTAGTCCCAGATGCGACCATCACATCCATCAAAATAACCACTTTTGATATTATGTAATATATTCTAACAATTTTGTTTTTCTACTTATTTTACAAAAAAGATCAGACTATACTCAATGCTGATTTTTACAATGAACAAATCATAAATGTAGTACCATGTCAATGTCAAATTAGTCATGTTTCCATTTAAGAAACTGATGGCTTCAAAAAGATTATAAAGCTAGGCATGATTGCACATGCCTGTATTCTCAGCACTCTAGGGGGCTGAGGCAAGAAGGTCTTCAATTTGAACCCACCCAGAGAAGTTTATTGATTTTGGGAGACTTTGTCTCCAAATTTTAACAGTTCATGTTCTGCCAACCTCCTGAGCTAGCTGGGCAATTTTTCAAAAATTTAAAATGGCTGGGAATGTAGCTCAGTGTGAAAGTCCTGGGTTTAATCCCCAGTGACCACACATATACATGTGCACATGCACGCAAGCACACATTATAAAAAGAATGACCCTTTATTACAAATACTACAGAAATACATAAAGTTAAAAAGGTGAAGGCCTATCCCTAGTAGCTGTTTGTATATAATCATTTTCAAAGACTGCATGGTATTTGACTAAGTTTATTGGTATATTTTAGGTACACATAGTGATCATATTCATTACAGGGAATTTGTACCTATTCATGCTATAACTTGATTTTTTCCCCATTTGTGTATTCACCCTTCAACCTCTCTTCTTATTTGCAGAATCTTTGTTTCTATTTTGTCCTTTTCTCATCATTTTTTGTCTTTTTGTTTCCTTCCTTTCTCCCTCCCCTCTTCCTAGTTCCCCTTCCCATCTGAATATTTTCTCCCTATTTTGCAGTATCTATTATATGTGGAATACTATTTTTTTTTTTTTTTTGAGGAGATGCTAGAAATTGAACCCAGGGTCTCACACATAATAGGTCAGTATTCTACCACTAAACTACACCGTTAGTTCTCAAATATTTATGGTTTAAGGTATAACTTTTTATTCTAATTTAGACATTTTTTTTATCCCCTATGTCTGTTGCAATGTTATACTTTTTTTCCCCCTTAGAGATTTACTACAAATCAAGATCCTGGGCTAGGACCAAATTAAGTAAAAAAAAAAAAATTGGGGTTATTTAGATTGCATAATTTTATAACTCTTGAAAACTTCTTAATTTGTGACATATGTTTGTAGCTCTTTGACTAATGTGGTTTATTTGTAATAAAGGTAATTGAATATCTCTGGCATAAAGTTGTTCTGTACTTTTACTTGAAGCCATATTTCCTGCCAGAGGTAGAAAAGTGCTATTTACCTGGTCATCACTGGCCCTGGGGAATTCTTTCTGTTCTTTTGTATTACTATAGTATATGATAGTGGCTACTTAGAATCTATTTTGATTTAATTCTAAGATACATATATGAGTAGTGATTTCAAAATGTTAGCTAGTTTTAAAATTTTTATATACCTTTTTATTTCCACGTTTTCTTTTTCTTTCCTATTGGTACTGGGGATCGAACTCACGACCACCTGCTTTCAAGGCAGGTGCTTATGCCGCTGAGCTAAACCTCCAGCCCCTGTTTGTTTGTTTTTGAGACAAGATCTCACTGTGTAGTTCAGGCTGGCCTTGAGCTCACAGTGATCTTCCCATTTCAGTCTCCTGAGTGCTGGGATTCCAGGCATGCATCACCACACCCAGCTAGTTTTTCTATTTTTTCCCCCCTGGTTATAAAATCTAGGGCCACAAGCATGCTAGGCAAGTACTGTTTTACATCTTCGTATCATCTTTTTAAAGTGCTTATCAGAAGTTAAAGTAATAAAAAACATGAAACGGAAAGACTAAAGTATTTCAGTTACTAATATATATTTTGAGTTATGAAATAATTATTTGTGCTAATTTTTAGTTCCAGAAAGCTGACTCTGATCTGGATTACATTCAGTACAGGCTGGAATATGAAATCAAGACTAATCATCCTGATTCAGCAGGAGAGGTAATCTATAAACTGAATATTTTGTAAAAAAAAAGATTTTTCTGATAATGTTTCTAATAGTGTGTGTGTGTGTGTGTGTGTGTGTGTGTTAATTGAGATTGAATTCAGGGTCTTGCACATGCTGGGCAAATGCTGTACTATTAAATTATATCCCCAGCCCTCATATTTCTACTAATAAAAAAGTGATTTAAAAATTGTGTTGTACTTAATTTAAAGATTCTTAAAATCTTCTTATGGAAGATTGGTCAGGGCATATTGAAAAGATTATAACAATTGCCAGTGAAATTTGTAGCACTTTTCTTGTTATTTTTTCCTAATGTCTAAAAAAGAACCATTGAGCCAGATGTGGTGGCTCATGCCTGTAAACCCAGCATTCGGGTGGCTTAGGTAGGTGGATTGATGTGAGTTCAAGGCTACCCTGGGCTACATAAGTGAGTTCAAGGCCAGCCTGAACTACATAGTGAGACCCTGTCTCAGCCCTTCCCCTCAATAAATAAGAACATAAAATATAATAAAGTTAAATTTAAAAAAAGAATTATTGAAAGCGGGAGATGTAGCTTAGTGATAGAGCAGTTCTCTTGTATGTGTATGGCCCTGGCTTCCATCACAGCACCAAGGCCAAAAAGAATAACTGAGCTCAGAGGTACAAACCAGGGTTGAAACCTCTGAAATTGCAAGAGAGAATATAGCTGCTACCCACTAGGGCAATGGTTCTTCTGAAAGTATTGGCAACCATGCTAATTCTCCTAAGAAGAGAATTACATACTATTCAGTTTGTTTTATTATACAATGTGAGCAGTGGCTTTTGACTTTTCTTTTTTCTTTTCTTTTCTTTTTTTTTTTTTTTTGGTACTGGGGATTGAGTTCACGACTTTGCACTTGCCAGGCAGGTGCTTGTGCTGCTGAGCTAAATCCCCAACCTGAGCAGTGGCTTTTTTATAAAATTGTGTGTTTAGTTATTCTAAGATCAGGTGGCTTAGGAATATGTTATGGATTAAAAATTGGTAGTCAACTTAATGCCAGCTGAATTAAATCAGCAGGGCACTGGGCATAGATGTTTCATCTGTGGAAAGTTGCCAGCATAAATAGAGGAGAAGGAGAAGGAAGGGCGTTGAGGTGTTGAGGCATTGTGGGTTCTCCTATGTGTTGCTGTTTTGAGCTATTGGTTCTCCTGGAGAAGCTCTCGTCCTCACAGCAAGCATTGCTTCCTGGTTCTGAAGGGGAAGACGTGTGCCACTTGGTCTCCAGGATGAACTTGTCATGCTGGCTTCCTGGCATGTACTTGACTGTGCTTATCATCGGAGGAGCTCGGGGCACCTGTGTCGCTAAGGATGGCTGTGGTGCTTTTCACGACAGCTCAGGTATTTGTTGTGAGTGTGATTTCTCAGCTCCAGCACAGAACCCTCAACCTACCAGCACAGCTCCTTCACCCTGCTGGCATAGACTTTCTAGCTTCCACTGCTGACCTTGGGCCTTCCCAGCACGGATCCGTAAAAGAGACTAGCATGAGTCCTTCTTGTGGGCTCTAGACCTCCAGCTGGACATGTGGGAGGCATTGTCATGAGCTCTGGGTCTTCATGTGGACTCATGTGGGACATTAGTATAGGTACATACCACTTTTCCCAGCTGACTGTTTATAGCCATAAAATCATAACTATAGGTATACATGCTCATGAAATAAAAAGCAAATGATGCGTAAAAGCATTAATATCTTTGACAGTTCTTGCCAGCAGACAAGACATACTATATTTTATAGTTTTCAAAATGTTAAACACATTAAAAATTAAATTTTTCATGTTTTAGTTTGTTTTGAATTTTTTTTTTTTTTTTTTTGGTACTGGAGCTCAAACTCACCACACTTGCAAGGTAGGTGCTTATGCTTCTGTGCTCTAAATCCCCAGCCCCTTGTTTTGTTTTGGTACTGGGGATCAAACTCAAGACCTCGTGTTTACCAGGCAAGCAGTTGAGCTGCTAAGCTAAATCCCTGCCCCCTCATTAAAAATTTTTAAAGTGATGTTTTATACAAAATCATGCAAATTTCATGAATGTTCCATTTTTACTGTTCATGGTATTTTAGAATTTGATGGGAGTATATTTGAATTATTTTAGCTCTCGACTTTTTTTTTTTTTTGATGGTACTGGGGGTTAAACCTATGGACTTTGCACTAAGCTACAGCTCCAGACCCTCTTTTTTTTTTTTTTTTTTTTCTGGTACTAGGGATCAAACTCATGACCTCGTGCTTGGTAGGCAGGCACTTATATCACTGAACTAAATCCCTGGCTCCAGACCCTTTTATAAAACAGGCTCTTGTTAAATTGCCCAGGCTGGCCTTGAATTCGTGATCCTCCTGCCTGAGGCTCCCAAGTAACTAGGATTATAGGCTCATGCTTATTGTTTTGAAGAACCACCAAACTATTTTTTGAAGTAGTTAAGTCATTTTACATCCTTAAGGTTTTCTTTTTCTAGTTGTGATGAAATACTCATGACATAAAACTTACCTTTTTTATTTGTTGTTTGAGATTTGTTTTCACTATGTAAATCAGGCTGGGGCTTGAACACACTATGCACCAAGAGTGGCATCAATTTCAGGAGAGACCTCTTGCCTCCACATCTCAAAGTACTGGGATTAGAGGCATGTACCACCACACTCAGCATTATCTTTTTAAAGTGTAAAGACTAGTGCCCCCACCTTGGGAATCACCACTCTACTTTTGTCTTTATAAATTTGGATTCTCTAGATACATCATCGATATAGAAGCACATATTTGTCTATTTGTGACTGGTTTGATTTCACTTAGTGCAGTGGACTTAAGATTCATCTATATTAAAAAAAAAAAAAGGATTCATCCGTATTGCAGCAACGCCAGAACTTCTTCCTTTTTTGTGTTTTTGAAACATGGTTTCACTATGCAGTTCCGGTTGGCCTTGAACTTACTTTGTAGTCCAGGCTGGCCTTGAACTCACAGCAATCCTCCTGCCTCAGCCTCCCGAGTGCTGGTATTAGAATGGTGGTATTGTATGCACGTGCCACTGTGCCTGGCAGTAGTTATTCATATTACAAACAGAATCTGAAAAAACCAATGTACTTTATACAGTTGTTTGAGTTGGCATGAATTTTATATTTTATCTGTATATTAAATAAACATATTTACTTCTACTTTAACGATATGGCAGTATGTTTATTAATTTTATTATTATTTTTTTCATTTTCTTTTTTGTCTTTTTCGTTTTTATCGGTACCAGGGATTGAACTCACGACTGCCTGCTTGCAAGGCAGGCGCTTATGCCGCTGAGCTAAATTCCCAGCCCCTATTAATTTTATTATTAGTGGTTTCAAATTATTCTATTCTTTTTTATTTGTGACTGCGTGCATGCCAGGAAGGTGCTTATGCTACTGAGCTAAATCCTCGGCCCTAAATTATCCTATTCTTTTTTTTTTTTTTAAATTTTATTTAAAAGGAAAAAGAGGAAAAACAAAACAAAACAAAGTGGTGTAAGGATATAAGTAATACAGAACTATAAAAAAAAAAAAAAGTAAGAAATCACCAGTTAATAGATTACACATTATCATCTTAGAGATAGTTGCTCAAGTCACAGTATCAAAGCATACAAAGTGGACATTCAAACAGTGAGACTGCAAACAGTTGTGTTCAATGATCCAACCAAAAACATTAATATGGTCAGCTATTTAACACCCCAAACACACTTGCAGTTGTATTCTTTAGAGCACTTTTTTACCCTCTCTTTTTTACAACAAAATTTACACATTTTGGGTTTTATTACTCCTTAGTTCTTATTACTTTTTTGTTTTGGAAGAGAATAAAGTCAAATATGGCAAAACAAAGCTTCAGTCAAAACCAAGGATAGACATAGCACATGATGTAAAAACAGAGTACAAGGTTATCAACAATGGTTACCCTAATGCCTCTTGCTTCCTTAAAAAGAATTGTCTATCTCATTAGGTATTATAAAGTTGAACAAAACAGTAGAGAACAAGACCAATAAAACCTAAACCTTGTAAACATTACAGGACTTCCAAAGGAGACAATAGTCAAACCAGAATGGGCATCATAGTGAATCTTATTTCCTTCAAAGTAGTTGCCTATACCCTCAAACTTGATACTATCATACAGAACGGAACAGAGTCTAATCAGTCAAAACAAGATAGTGGGAGTATTACAGGACTTCAAATCAAGTTAATAGGAAATCAAAAAAGTTACTTTAATATCTCCTGCTAATTTATTTTTCCCCTTAATTAAAAAATCATAAAAAATAACTAAAGTTATCCTATTCTTGAACAAATCAAAGTATTGCCTTTAATCTCCTGGTTGGCATTTAAAATTATATTTAGAAATAATGTGTGGTTGTGAATTGTGCATCAAATGTATACATGTAAAGTGATCTTATTTGCTGTTTAATATTAATTTTGTGTGTGTGTGTGATTTTTATGCTTAGGCTCTAAATTTCTTGATAATAGGCTTTAGGCTTTATACTTCCCCATCCTCTGTCATATAGTTGTATACATATTAACAGTGTTCAATTAAATAGATTACAGAAAGTTTGATATTTTCATTTTTAAGAAGCAGCATAATTTTTGTAAGCTTAATTTTTTTGCATTCTATTATTTAATATTTACCTTTTTTCCTGATGTAGAAAAATCCAGTTACTCTTTTAAAGGAATTGTCAGCAATAAAGTCTCGATACCAAACTTTGTGTGACCATTATAAACGTGTTGCTACTGAACAGAAAGAGATTAAGACCCGCATTTCTACTACTTTGAATAAAACTATGACCAGGATACAAGAACTACAAAAGCTAACAGATGTAGAGGTAATGTTTTCATTTACAAATTAGATTTTTGTAGTTTTTGTTCTGAGTGTTGTTTTATAAGATAAACCCTCAGGAACTTGAATTTTTATTTATTTATTTATTTTTATTTAATTTTAAAGGGAATAAAACGGCTATAAGATGAATCAAAATAGTGAAAAGACAGTAGAAAATTTACAATAGTTACTGTATTGCATATTTTTATCCTCTAAATAGTTGCTTGATTTTAGCGTTGCAAAGTCAGTCAAACAATACAGTTCCTCCAAATCAGGAGGTGGGGTGGGGCAGGACAGGGTGGAGGAAGACTGTTCTCTCCCCAGCCTGTGTGCTGGCCTGCTCACTGGCAGAGGCTTAGTTTCTTCCTTGTTGTCCCTGAGGGACTTGGATTTTCAAATTTACTAGTCAGTTTGGACTGTTGATAGAAATGCAATTTTTTGATACTCTGAAGTATAATTGCATTTATGTCCTTTTATTTTAAAATAAGTGGATGAACGAAGCACGGTTAATGAAGAAACATGCTGTCTTAGATTAAGTAATCATGGCAGAAGAGAACCCTTGTTAACACTTACCAAATAGATTTGCCAGCTGAATCTTATTAGAACTAGTAAGATTGAGAATTCTGAAAAGTACTTAGAGCAGAGATGGCTTGAGAGGCAGTATCAGGGGTCAAATCTGGGACATTATGCAGGCTAGGCAAGCACTCTGAGGAGCCACACCCCCAACTTGTTTTATTTCTGTTTTTGTTTTTTCGAGACAGGGTTTTACTATGTAGTTTTACTATGTAGTTCAGGCTGGCTGAACTGATTATGTAGCCCAGGCTGGCCTCAAAAGTCTCAATAATCCTCTTGCCTCAGCCTCCTAAGTGTTGGGATTACAGGCTTGTACAACCATGACTGGCTTTTTTTCCCCCCTTCTTTTTTTTCAGTTGGGTTGTCAGGCATGGATCGGCCTGACCTTCTCCATTCCCTCAGTCTATTCACTATGCCCCATTTTATATAGTATCAGAATCCTTATAGTCAGAAGGCTGAAGCTAGTGGGTCACTGTGAGTTCAAGACCAGTGTGGGTTACATAGTGAGTTCAAAACTAGCCTGAACTGCATAGTGAGTGAGACCTTCTCTCAAAAACACAAAAAATATATTCTTTTTTTTTTTAACCAGGGATCGAACTCATGACTCTATGCTTGCAAAGCAGGCACTTATGCTACTGAGCTAAATCTTCAGCCCCTGACAAAAAGTATATAAAAAATTAAATAGGAGAGAGAGAGAGAGAGAGAGAGGGAGAGAGGGAGAGGGAGAGAGGGAGAGAGGGAGAGGGAGAGAAAACAAAGTAAAACTGTTCAGGGAGTATTTTGCTATTATCTTTATAAAAATAAGAAGTGCCTTTTCATTTTGAAAGGCAGAAAATAAGCAGATATAGTGGTGCATACCTGTAATTCCAGGACTTGGGAGGCTGAGGGAGGAGAATCATCACAAGTTTGAGGCCAGCCTGGGCTACATAGAGAGTTCAAGGTCAGCCTGAACTATATAGTAAGACGCTGTCTCAGAAAGACTAAATAAATAAATAAAAATAAAATTTAAAAAGGTAGAAGATATATTTAAATTGATATTCTTTAAAAAGAGTAGAAGTCATAATTTTAAATGCTAAATAGTGAGCTGAGATTAGAAAAGGTTGGAAGAAAGAGAATACATGCTAATTTTACCATCTTTCTTAGCTGATTTAAATCATGGCATTTTAAATATACTTAATTATAAGTCCAACCAAAGGAAAAAGAAGTAAATTTTTACAAAGCAAAACATAGCAAAACATGCTACTAAAACAAAAATATAATAGTAGAAAGTAAAAAAGGCATTAAAAGTACAATGTGTAGTATCTTACTGAGCAATGCTTTTTTTGGTTACTGGGGATCACACTTAGGATGGCATGCTTGCCAGTCAGGCTGTGTGCCAATGAACTATATCCTCAGCCCCTGATGGATATTTAAGACACTTGTATTAAAGAGAAATTTCCACAAACTTAAGACAGGTTAACTTGATTTTAACTCTGCAAAAAACTCTTGTATAGTGATTACAAGGATTCATAGTGATCGCATAGATTCATTAAGAAGTAACAAGACTTTCTAGAATAATACCATTTTTTTAATTCTTAAAAATCTTTTTTTTTTTTCAGTGCTAGGAATTACTCAGGATGTTGTGTATCCTAAGCAAGTATGCTGCCCCTAACCCAAACCATCAGTTTTCATTTCCCTTTTTTTTTTTGAGGTAGAAGAGAAAATTTCTGTAAATGTTTGGGTTGCAGTAAGTCATATGATTATCACTTTATTCATGTAAATATTTGATTAGTCAAATCAGCTGCCTATCAAGCATTGGATAGCTAGGCTTCCAATTGCCATATATGGCTTATAAATTTAAACTCAGTTACATAAAATTAAAAATTCAGTTCTTCATCTCCCAATTGGACAGTGCCAATATAGAATAGTTCTACTATAAATGAAAATTTTATTGGGCAGTGCTGCCCCTGGAGATTCAGATTCTGTAAGTCTGGGTGTTCTAGATTTGGCAGTCTCTCTAGAGATGACCTATATAATTAGGCAGATTTGTAACTATTTGAGGGATTTATGTTGTATCTCAAATTACTTTCCCATGGAACTCTGTTTCAGCCAGCATATTGTTGGTCCTCAGTGAAAATCCTTTACAACTTTCATTATTTCCCCATTAAAAGTTTTTGAAAAGGAAATGTGAACAAAAGTAGTTTTGAGTTTGGGTATTGTGGTAATGCCTGTAATGCCAGCACTTGGGAGGCAGAGGAAGGAGGATCGCAGCATGTTCAAGGCAAGCCTGGGGTACAAAGTGAGTTCAAGGCCATCCTGGACTATATAGTGAGACCCTATCTCAAAAAGATGAAAAACAAAACAAAACACAATTTCTTTGTTTGCTTTACTTTCCTGTTATTATTTAAATTGTTTGGTCTTGTTTCTGTTTTTTTTTTTTTTTTTTCCTGTTTGAGGCAGTGTCTCAATATATAGGCCTTCAATTCCCTGCCTTAGTTTCCCAAGTGCCAGGATTACAGGAATAGACCACCACCCCTGATCTGGTTTCATTTGTTCATCTTGATTGCAAGTTCTCTGGAAGCTCAAAGATCATAGTACTTTGTATATATAGAGTGTTTGGTCCTTTCACATGGGAGAGAGAGAAAAGAAAAGAAGCCTTTATTGCAAGCATGGGAGGGCTGCGGAAGAGAGGCAAGCATCCTCGGAGGGGAATAAAGAAAACCGTGGGCTTTTATTTGGAATTGATAGAGGTAGAGTTAAAGGGGCAGGCAGAATGACCTATTGATAGCTGACTGGGGAAGCATTGGCGCACGGGAAAAGCGGATGGTTTAGCTTTAGGGTTTTCCTGAAGAATGGAGAAGTCAGTGCTGAAGGGAGGCATTGTCCAGTGCCATGCTGACTTGCACATGGGAAAAACATGTCAGAGAGCCAAAAATCTATTTTCTTTGTCTTCCTATAGTGGTGATTACATCCATGAAATAAGCTGACACAAATACTTATTATAAGATAAAGGAGAACTTTACTAATTTAATAGTATGTGAAAATTTTGGGAATAAAGGTTTTGTCATTTGTTTTCTAGCTGTTACCACCCACTGAAGAAGAAAAAACTGCGACAGAGCAGTTAAAATCTCACAGGGAACACTTATGAAGAAATGGAATTGCAAAATGGAACTCTAATGAAGAAGAGATTAATTCCAGAGAAATACAAGAAGATGTCTTTTTTTTTTTTTTTTTTTTTTTTTTTTTTTAAGAAGATGTCTTCTTAACAGTTCATAAGCAGAGGTTGGGGGTGGTCGAGGAGGAGGAGGCAGAGGAGGGAAAGGTTTGGTTTGAGTGACAGGGTAGTGATTCTTTTGTAAGAGAAGGATTAAGAAGGGCAGCAGATATTAATAAAATTTAGCCAAAGGATGGAGTAGAAATAAAAGTATATATACATATACTTAGCTTTGTAATTTTAGGTAAAGAAGTTTCTTACTTCTAATTTGTATGTTTTCTTTTTGTATTATTGGGATAATAAGCGTTCTGGCCTATAATAAAAGAAAGCTCATGCATTTTAGTCTGTCACTGAGTGAATCAGTGTGCTTTAGAAATTAGAATACAAGCAAAATATTTGTATTGTACATTATATATGGGTATATAATTTGATTTTTGAAAATATTGATGGCAGATAGAATCACATTGGTGAGACCATTAACGTGTGTTTTTTCACATTTTAATATATTTTGGCTTTCCTGTGATAACCTCACTTTTATTTATTTATTTATTTATTTATTTCTTAATTCTTCTTGCTTACAAATGCCCTTTTTGACTCTCCTTGTGATTTCAATACTTTATTCTCATTCAGCCTATAATTGTTCATTCTCTATAAACACTAAGGTGAGGTGGTCTCCAAAAAAAGTGTATGAAAACTCAAAAACAAGTCACAGAGAATTTATCTGCTACTTTTTAACTTAAATATAGTTTTTTTTTTTTTTTTTTTTACCAGTACCAGGGATCGAACTCACGACCAACTTATGCCGCTGAGCTAAATCCCCAGCCCCAACTTAAAGTCTCTGAGAAGATATTTTTTGTGTTTGGTACTGGGGATTGAATCAAAACCTCGCATTTGCCAGCAGGTGCTTGTGCCACTGAGCTAAACTCCTGGCCCTTTTTTTCTTTTTTTTTTTTTTTTTTTGAGACTGGTTTTTGGTGCATAGTTCAGGTTGGCTTTGAACTCACTATGTGGTCCAGGCTGGTCTCAAACCTGTGGAAATCTCTGCCTTGGGCTCCAGGTGCTAGGATTCTGGGCGTGTACCATCATGCCTGACGATCATATTTATTTTATTTTTAATTATAAAGAGAATAAAACAAAACAATGGGGACAATATTGGATTTCAAAAACAAGACAGTAGGAAATCAACTATAGTTACTGTAATGCACATGTTATCCTCTAAGTGGATGCTCAAACCACCTGACACAAGCATGCAAAGTAAGCATTAAGTTGTTTCTACTTCAGTTACTATCATTTCAGAAATTTGAGGTGTGTGTTCTTTACTGTCTATCTCTTTTAGACTTGTTCTGAGAGGGCTGGAGGTCTGAAACTGTACCCTGCTTCTTTAATCCTCTGATCTGAGGTTCCCTGGTGGCAGAGAGGTGTAGGCAGCCATTCACCGATGTTTCCCCAGTGGCGAGGGACCTTGGGAGCTCGTCAACTTTCTTTTCTCTGGGCCAGCACTATGGGGCATGGCCTCCTCTCCAAGGGCAGTAGGGAACCCAGTGGGGGGCATGGCCTCCTTTTGCTAGGCCTGTGGAGAGATTCTATATATTTTAAAATAACTATTGGTAATAGGGCAAATGTCCAAAGTAGAAACAGCTAAAAAAGATTTTGGGGCTGGGGATGTAGCCCAGTGGTAGACCATGTGCTTGGTATGTGCATGGCCCTGTACTAAACTGCCAGTACTCAAAGTTAATTACAGGATTATTTATAATAGCAATACATCTTTCCAATAGGTGATAAGAAAGTAAATTATAGTTCATCTATATAATGGGAGTCTAAAATGCCAATGTATTTTTACTATTAATGTGGGATGTTAAAACTATGCTTAGTTGAGAGGAGGAACAGGTATTGCAGTTTTGCTTTTAACATTGGACTGTAGACTTATACTTGAGATATAAATTCGGTTCCCCCTGTGCAGTTTTGCTTTCCATGATTTCAGAGAGCTGTGCCCAGTCGTGGTCCAAAAATATTAAGTGGCAAATTCCTGAAATAAACAATTCTTAAGTTTCAAATTTCATATGAATAGCATATATCTTATGCTATCCCATTCCATCTCTGTCCAGCTTATCCACAATGAATGCACTGCTTGTCTGTTAGTCATTCAGTAGTCATGGTATCACAGATTAGTCGGGGAACTATGTTCTGTGAATAATTTTTACTATTTATTTGGATTTGTTTTTTGAGACAGGGTCTCATTATTTAGTTCAAGCTGGTCTCAGATTTGTGGTAACTCTCCTGCCTTAGCCTCCCAAGTCCTGGGATTATAGGTATGTGTCACCATGTCAGGCTATGCATAATTTTTTAAATTGAAGTAAAATTTCCTCAATAGTAACAATATTAGAATGTATAACTACGGAAATTTTAGTACAAATAGTGTTGTGCAAGTTCACCTTCATGTAGTTCCAAAATCTTAAATGATTTTTAGGGAAAGCACTGTCAGTCCCAAATTAATCTCAATTTATATCTTTGTCTGGGGCTCAGGTAGCTGAAAATACACGTAGTTGCTGCCTACCACTTATAAGTTCCAAATGCCTGATATCCCAGGATTTAATTTCCTACATGTGAACTCTGGATTAGGATAAGTATAAATAGCTATGTTCAGTAAATGAAACGAAAAATTTAGAATTTTATGTATGTCTTTTTGTGTCACAAACCTTCACTTTTGCAGTGTACACATTGCTTCTGGCAGGAAATTGTAGGAAAATCTGAATTACAGGAAAACTCAGCATGGCTGATAGCCTTTTGCCCTTCAGGAGTCTCAGGGCATCCAGGGTGGGCTGGGGTTCTGAAGACTAATCTGTGGTCCTTCCCCACCAGTAAAATGAGAAACACTTCTCCAGACTTCACAATATGGAGCTTTTCAACTCCAGAGTCTTTGGTTGTGGGAGAGAAAAATTGTAAATCCTTAGAATGCGGTTAGATGTGGAACACATGCCTGCTAATTTCAGCTACTCAAGAAGATGAGTTTGTAGAATCTTAATTTGAAGGCCAGCCTGCACTCAGGCCATCTTAAAATAAGGGCTAAGAATGTAGTTCGGGTTAGGTGCCTGCCGAGCATGCGCATATCCTTAGGCTTTATCGCTGAAAAAGCATTAACCGCAAATTCTCTCTATTAGGGCCTTTCCGAGTCACCTGTAGAGAAGCACCTGCAGGGGCTGCTGATTGTGCGCTTTTCCTAGGCCCTTCGCTTAAATCTCCGAATCTGAACTCCTAGGGGTGTGACTTCCAAAATCACATTTTTTAACAAGTCTGAAGGGCTTTTTTTTCTTTTGAGACCGCGGGCGAATCGCCGCTTACCTGGGGGCGTGGCACAGAGAAGCACCGCCCTCCCTCCGTCCACGCCCACTTGAGGCTCAAGGCACGCAGCCCTGCGGCAATGATTCGCCCAGTCCCGCGTGCGCTGCCTCACCGCGGGAACTAATCACCCGCTTCTTTTTCCAGCTCCGCCCCCCTTGCGCGCACGCGCGTTGTGGCTTCTCGGGCTGCCGCGCCTCAGGCTCCCCTGGTTACGGTTGGTGTTCGCGAGTCGTCTGAGGTGCCACCTTCCCTTGCGCCTGCAGACTGCGGTGGCAGTTCGATACGCGCGCGTCCGCGTCACGTGGGCCGAGGCTTCCTCGCGGTCGCTGACTGGCGGCTGAGGCGGGAGGAAAGAGCTGCGGCCGCTTGCCCTCCTTCAGAGCCCCTCGGCGGACTCAGTGATAAAAATGGCGAAATGGGGTAACTGGCACTGAACCTGAGGCAATGGGGCGCGCTCGTAGGCCAGTTGTCGGAGCTCCTTGATGTGGGTATCGGTTGGTGTTGGCAATTTCACCTGGCGACCTCAGACCAGCGCCTGACGGGAGACCACGGATTTCGCGGGGCGCCGAGGGCCCCGCCGAGAGCTGCGGGCAATGGATGAACAGAGTGTGGAGGTGAGGGGGGAGATGAGGGGGGTTGGTTCCTGCCGGCCAGTGAGTGTTGCTTCTGCCGGCGCAGTGCACTCCCTTCCCCGTTGCCGGGGCACCTCTGTCCCATCGTTGGTGCCGTGAGGCGGGCTGACCCAGTCAGTGCTGGTTCTGCGGCCCTCGGGTGATTCCGCAGTCAGGTGCTGCATAGCCTGGTGCTTTCAGGGCTGCCTTGGCATCTGTACAGCCTCCTCAGCGTCCGGTATTTGCAAACTAAAGCTTTGCAGAGCAAAACTGCAAATTCATGAGATGGACGTACCCTGCTGCTTGCTGCCGCTTTAGAGTGGTTGAGAGAACTCCAAATCAAGCATCAAATGGCAAATCATCTTTTCTTCACAGCCTTACATTTTGTAGGCTTCTCTTCCTAGATTGAATGAGGATACACGCGCGCGCACCGACACACACTTGAGTGTAATTAGTATTGTGTGTATGTGTGTGTATATGTATTTGTATATTGTTTATGTGTTTGTGTAATCTTATTTGGACGTAGTTTCCAGAACCAGCTATTCTTATAATTCTTGTGAACTGATTTCACATAGTGGGATAATTCCACAAAGCCTGGAAACACCGAAAAAGAGTGTTTATTGAACGTAATTACATAGTGACTTTCAGTTTTGAACTTTTAAAATACTAACTCTTCCCTGGTAGAGTTAACCGTGTTACCTAACACTCCACTTGGAACTATCTATTGTCCACTCCATAGCCAGTTAAGAGTCTGCACCTCATAGGCTCTGACTCCACTATTTGATTCGATTCAGGAAACATAATTTTCTCCTTAATTCCCTTGTGGAAGTATTTCGTAGATTTTGTAAACTTACTTTGCTTTTACTATGGTTTAAGTCTTCTGTAATGGAGTAAGAATAATGCTGTAAAAAATTAAAATTGCAATAATTACATTTAATCGTACGTGTTGTCACTTTGTAAAAGGATTCACTGAGGCTTGCAAAATAATACTGATTGTTTAAATTGTTTTTTCTTCCCTAGGCCTCAGAGCTGTCATCAAAATTCCTTTTCTGTTTTGTTTTGGTTCGGCTGACCAACTTGTGTGTAGTCGAGGCTAGCTTTGAACTCATTACATTTCTGCCTGAGCCTCCTGAGTGCTGGAGTTACAGATGGATGCCATCACACTTGGCCTGAAATTTTTCATAAAGACAGAATCTTAACCTCAAAGAAAGAGCTATTTGGTTGCAACTTTAGGACATAAATTCAGATTTCTGGATTCTGAATCAGATTCTCTCAGGGCCAAAATACACAGCCAGTTGGATATATATACATATATATGTGTGAATATATGTGTGTGTGTATGTGTATGAAACCTTTTCCCCCTTTAATTATAAAAGGACTTTATTCCTGGGGAAATGCAGGGAAAAATTAATTTTGTGCATTTACTTAGTCTTCCTGCTATACATCATAAGAATTTCTCTGTCATTAAATATTTTTAGTGACTATGGCATAATTTATATAACTGCTATAATCTTAATATTGGAACATCTAGGCTGTGCCAGATTCTTGCCATTATTAGTAATGCCTCAGTGAAAAGTTTGTGCTTTAAGTCTGTTTTTTCCTTAGAAGAGAATGAATGCTTGTCAAACTTAGAAAAAAATCGCATTGTTCAGAGGTATCTGGGACCTTGACCAAGTTGTGATACGGAATATGGTAAAAAATTAAGCTTTTAGCCTAAAATAAATGAAATTGTTGAGTGAATTTTTTGTTGTTGTGTTTTTTGAAACCAGGTCTGGGTTTGTAGTGCATGCTGGCCTTGAACTTAGTATGTAGCCCAGGAGGGCCTCAAATTCTTGGTGATCTCCTGCCTTAGCCTCCTGAGTGCTGAGATTGTATCCATGCACCCCCATGCCTAGCTCAAGTTAGTTTTTTTTTTTCCCATCTTTTTGAGACAGCGTCTTGCTATGCAGCTCAGGCTGGCCTTGAGCTCATTTTGTAGCCCAGGCTGGTGTCGAACTCGAAATGATGTTCCTGCCTCAGCCTCCCAAGTGTTGAGATTACCGGTGTGCACCACCACGCCTGGCTAAGTTAATTATTTTGTATTGCTTTTTATTCTTGATTCAGTAATCTAATGTGGGACCTTTGCATCTTTTATTATTTTCAGAGCATTGCTGAGGTTTTCCGATGTTTCATTTGCATGGAGAAATTGCGGGATGCTCGCTTGTGTCCACATTGCTCCAAGCTTTGTTGTTTCAGCTGTATTAGGGTAAGTTGTATCTCTTAACTTACATTTATATATGATGTATTTTAAGGATTAACCATTAATTAGCCTACTAAATTTTACTGCTTAGTGCTTTGGAGTTGAATAAACAGCATAGGATCATTGCCATAAAATGAATGAAAATACTGAGATGCTTCTGGAAACAAAAACTCACTGTAACTTTAATATATTTACATTATTAAATGTATCGCAAATTTGACATCTTTGTTTTTGTGTTTTTTTTTTTTTGTGCCGAAGATTGAACTCACAACCTTGAGTTTGCCAAGCAGGCAGTTACCCTGATGAGCTAAAGCCCTGGCCTTTGTTTTTGTTTTTGAGGCAGGGTTTTGTTATACAGTTCAGGCTGGCCTCCAAGTGATCCTCCTGTCTCAGCCTCCCAAATACTGGGATTACGAGCATGCGCTACCACATCTGGCTAATCATTTAACAAATACTTAAAAACACTAGTGTTTGCTTGTGTTATGCTTAGGATTGATGGATGCTAAGATAAATGACAAAGCACCTTCCTTGCAGGAGTTTAAAGCTGATAGCAGGAATGAACTTGAGAATATAGAAAAATGTGTAGCTTATGAAGAGGCACTAAAAAAATATTGGTCTCAAAAGAGGAAGAATTTACACATGCTTAATGGGTAAGATGGTGAAAAAGTGGATAATGGGCTTAAAGGCAAAGAACAGAATCTTTGTATTGTTACAAGAGTATAGAGATGAATATAACCTGGTATCATTAAAACTTATGTATTGGTGATCTCAAAGCCTAAGATGTAAACAAAAATCTTATTTCGGTTGTGATAAATTCTTGTAATGTGGAGGTCTAGCAGCGCATCTACAGAGGATAGTTGAAAACTTGCCTGCTCACATTAATCTTTTTTTTTTTTGGTACTAGGGATTGAACTCAGGACATCACACTTGCCAGGCAGGCGCTTATGCCGCTGAACTAAATCCCTGGCCCTGACATTACTTTTGAGATAATCTTTATTGAGAAAATTGAAGCCATCTAATGTGATTTTCACATTCTGTTTCATTTCCTTATACTTACCTAAGAGAGATAAATACCATGTCCTTTTGTCAAGAGTGATATCTGTAACACTGAAATAATTCTCTTGCTGCTAAACATGGTGGCACATACCTATGTTCCAGCTACTTGGGTGTCCGAGGCAGTAGAATTACAAACTGGAGGCCAGCCTAGGCAACTTAGATGTTGTCTCAAAAGAAAACAGGTTGGAGGTGTAGCTCAGTAGAAAGGCAATAGGTGGGGATTTAGCTCAGTGGCATAAGCGCAAGCGTGCAGCCATGAGTTCGATCCCTGGTACTGATAAAAAAAAAAAGGCAATAGGTTCAACTCTCAGTACCACCATTGCCACCACCAAAAAGAAATTCCTTACAGTCACAGAAGTAATATTGTCTTGGTTCTTAAGTGCACTTTTATTTCTTCATTCGTTCAGCACATACTACTTGCCTATTTAGTATCAAGCATTGACTTCCCAAGGAATGCCAATTGAGAGATGTACAAAAAAGTAAACAGATACATGGTAGATATGAGTAAGTGCTATAAGCAAAAATAGGGTTACAGAGGATTTTGAGAAGGTGATAAATGAGATGTTAGCTGTTTTAGATATAGTAGTCTGGGAAGGTTTGAGGGCATGACATTTCAGTGAAATGTGTGAGTGAACACTGTGACTATCTGGAGCAGTTAGATGGAAAAAAAGACCAAGTTAGAAGAATGCTCAATATAGGGCCGGGGATTTAGCTCAGTTGCATTAGTGCCTGCCTTGCAAGCTCTAGGTCATGAGTTCGATCCCTGGTCGAAAAAAAAAGCTCAATATGTTAAGAAATAGCAAGAAAGCCAGTGTGGCTGGGCAGAGTGAATATGAGAGAGGAATAGTAGTTGAATTTGGAGATGAAATTAAGGGCCTTGGTAATGACTTTGGCATTAGCCATTGACCTTGAAACCTCGTTTGGAGGTTCTAGTAGGGGAGCACAGCTACTCATGTTCTCTTGACTGAAGAATGGTACTCTTCTCTTGGAAAGTTGTCTGCTTTGACCAAATAAATGCACAGCTTCCAGAAGAATGCACATGGAGCTGTGAGGGAGAACGGGGACACCGGCCTAGCTAGCAGCAGGTCATAAAATCAGTGCTGGTGTTCTGTGGGGAGACATGTCACAACTAAATTGCCATCATATCCTGATGGTAGCCATTGAAAGCTTTTAGGGATTGTACATGCTTTAGAGATGTCACTCTAAAGAATGAGGAAAGTGAGCTATAGGCAGATAGACAAGGCAGTAAAGAGTAAAAGGCAGATGTGCTTTCTAGTGGAAGATGAGTGGTAGTTTAAACTAGAATGGTAATAGGGGTAGTGAGTAATAAGTTCAGTATATGTTTTGAAGGTAGAACCAGTAGAATTTAGACAGGATATGAGGAAAGTGTTTTAAAATTACTTCTTACTTTTTACTTTTACTTTTACTTTGTTGTTTATTTTTTGAGATAGATATTGCTGTATAGTCTTGACTGAATGTGAACTCAACCATGTGTGGCTCAGGCTGGCCTGCAGTGTGTTGTTTGTTCTAAGGTAGAACAAACTTGAAGAGGAACAGACTAATACTATAGATGTAAATGTGTTTTGGTTTTGGTCTTTTTTGAGACAAACTTTCACTATGACCTTGAACTCACAGCAGTCCTCCTGCTTTAACCTCCTATGGCTGGGATTATAGAGATGTACCACTATCCCTGGCTATACAATGAGTTTTGTAGAAATGGTTACAATATTCAAAAACTGGGAAAAAATTAATACCTCAATGATTATTATTTTAAATTCATATCATGTAATGTTATATCACTATTTAAAAATACTACGTCTGAAAAATAACAAGAATTTATAACCTTATTTCTTGGCACCAAGATGAATCATTTTAATGTTTGCTTCTATAAATTCTATAATTTGCAGTTTTTCTACAATGAATGTAATACTTTGGTAGTAAATTTATTTTTTTAATTTATTTTTTTGGGATAGGTGGGTACTGGGAATCAAACTCAGGACCTTATGCTGTGCCACTGAGCTGTATCCCTGGTCCTATTTTTTTTAATTATTAGGAACAAGGTGTCACTATGTAGTTCAGGCTGGTCTTGAACTTCAAGGCCATCTTGAACTGACAGTGATCCTGTTGCCTTTACTTCCCAAGTACTGGAATTACAGGTGTGTAGCATGTATGGCAATTGTATCTTTAAAAATAGATGTTATTTTGTATGTATTTTTAAAAAACTGAGCCCTACTATGACTGACAAAGGTATATTAAAGTCTTTTCAAAATCTAATAAAATGAAGCTCTACTACAAAATCGTATAATATTAAGTAAACCTACTAAAAATAATTCTTGCCTTTATAAAGGAGCATTCTAAATTTCTGTGTTGATGTTAGCTGCTTTTTGGCATTATTAGGGAAAATCTGAACTATATCTTTCGTAATAATGTCCCCTTTTGTAGTGTATAAATTGAGACTGATACCTCTTCCTATCTTGGATAGGACTTAATAGCATTTGAGTCATTTCTGGCTAGAAACATTTCTGTGTTTGGACACCTTTTTCCCCTTTTTATTTTATTTTTTATTTTTTTTTTTTGAGACAGGGTCTTGCTATGCAGTTCAGACTGGCCTTGAGCTCACTTTGTAGCCCAGGCTGGTCTCGAACTCACAACAATCCTCCTGCCTCAGTCTCCTGAGTGCTGGGATTACAGGCGTGAACTGCCATATCCGGCTCCCCTTTTTATTTTAAAAGCTTCTCTTTCTATGCATCTCTTATTTATTTATTTCTACACATCTCTTGAGCTAGGGATTTTAACTTTTCATTTGGTAGTTACCTATCCCTGGACTCACCATGGAATCTACTCCAAGGGCCCTGTCCAGCTTGACCACGGGAAATAGCAATAGTACGAGTGCGCCTGCACTACTAACCCTGGCTTGCTGTCTAAAATGGTGGCCTAACTGTAAAAGTTATGTTTTTCAACATACCAATATTATACATCTAACTGGATCTAGAAATATGAACCTGAAGTTGGAGAAGATACAGAGAGATCAGTATTATTAGTTAAAACCAAGGAGTTAAAAAAATTAGATGAAAAGAGATTTTAGGTATGATCTCTGAGGCACTGTCACCATTTAGAGGTCAGGACAAGTAGGCTGAGGGTAAGGTCAGCAAGGGAGACCAAGAAGATGTAATACTTGAGATGGATAGAAATCTAGCAGAGTGAAGCATTCCAGAAACAGGTAAAACTTTGTTTTATGGAGGAGCTATTTGGCTTTGTCATGATTTCTGGCCTGGGAATTGAACATTGCATTTGAGGCTGTGTAAATCATTGGTGACTTCATGAGTAGTTTCAGCGGATTGGTTGGTATCTTAGCCGATTTCCCATTGCTGGGACAAAATGCTCAACACCCACAATTTAAAGGAAGATTAGATTATTTGGCTCACAGTTTCAAGGGGTTCACTCCAAAGTCAGCTTCTCCAGGGCAAAAACATCACAGTGTAAGGTCAGGGCAGAGTAAAGCTGTTCAACTCATGGCAGCCAAAAAGCAGAGAAAGGAGAAGGTGGAGATGGGAATATAGTTTTCCAGGTCAGGCCTTCAGTGACTTGCCTCCAATTGGGCCTCATTTCTAAACATGTTACTGGTCATCTCTAGTGCTATGGGATCTAATCCTAAATACATGAAGCTTTTAGCGGGTAGTCTATATCCAAATACTAATAGTGGAGATGAAAACCTGATGGGAAAGAGTAAGAAAATGACAGGAAATATTAAAAAAAAAAAAAAAAAGAAAGAAAGAAAAAAACTTCCACCGAATTATTACTCTAAAGGTGAGAAGTAAAGGTAATAGTCAAAGATGCATGTTGGAAGTCAACATTGTTTTTCCTTTGTTTAATTTTTATCTTACTGAGACTTAACAGTTGGAGAGTAATGATACTGGACAAGCATGGATGATTACAGAAGCAGAGTACTTGAGAAGCTGAATACCCTACTTCACCAAATTGTACTGGTGTTCATTTGAATGCTTTCCCTTTCTCCCATGACATTTCTTCTCATTTGACTATGGAAATTTGACTCTGATGGAGTAGATATTTGTGTCACTGAATACAGTCCAGACTTGCAGTTTGATGACTAATCAGAAGTATATTCATCTTTAGGCGAGTGGTTTTTTTTTCTTCCACACATACCCAAAGATGGGAACATCCACTGTATTATCAGACTAACTTTCTCATTCATCACATTGTATTTGATCATTTTTCAGTACCTTATCTTATTTGTGTTTTCTGCCATTTTTTGGTATCAGCTTTCTTTAGTTCTTTTTGTATTTTATTTTTATTCCCTTGGTTTTCAGCCTTGGTAGCACTTTATGTTTGCCTTTGATTGACTTTAGTTTCATTTTGCCAGCCATTTTTCATTAGATATAATTGATATAATAATCAGATATTTAAATAATACAATTTGATGTTTTTTCCTCCCAGTTTGGTAAGTTTTAGTAAGTGTATACTTGTGAAATTATCATTACAGTCAGGATAGTGAACATATAGGTCAACACCAAAAATTTCCCCGTGCCATCCTACTGTACTTATCCCCAGGGAAGCAGTGGTCTGCTTTCTGACATATAGATAAGTTTGTATTTTCTGGAATTTTACACAAATGAAACCACACAGTATGTGCTGAATGTGTTTGGCATTTTTCACTTAGAAGTATTATTTTGAGACTCCTCTATATTTGTGTATCAGTAGTATTCCTTTTTATAGCTAGGTAGTATTCCATTATATAAACATGATATAGTTTGTGTCTCCATTTACATACTGATTGACATATGAAGATGTTTTCAGTTTTTTACTCTTACATAATCTGCTATGGACAGCTATGTACAAGTCTTAGAATGAATTGAAGCTTTATTGTGTTTTGAGGCAGGTCTACTACTGCTGTGTAGTTCAGGCTGGTCCTGAACTCTCTGTGTAGCCCAGGGTGGCCTCGAACTCCCAGTGATCCTTCTGCCTTAGCCTCCCGAATGCAGGGATTACAAGCATGAGCCACCAGTCCTACCTTTACTATATTTTCTTAATTAGTAATGAAATGGTTAGATAACATGAATATGTTTAACTTTTTAAGCAATTGCCAAACATTTCTTCTGAAATAGTTCTAATATTTTATATCCTTAGCAGCAGTGCATGAGAATTTATTTCCTCCAAAGTAATGTAAACATGGGATATGTTTAGTTTCTTAAATTTTAGCTATTCTTATAGGTATGTAGTAGTATCTCATATTTTTTCTTTTTGATGCTTTTTTTGAGGTACTGGAGATTATAACTAGAGACATCTGTACAGTAGCAAGCACTGTACTACTGTGAAAATGTAGGGTTTTTTTTTTTTGGTACCAGGGATCAAACTCACGACCTCATGCTTGCCAGGCTTAAGCCACAGAGCTAAATTCCAGGTCACAAGCACTGTACTGCTGAGGAATACTTCTGGCCCTTTTTGTTTTTTTATTTTGATGCAGGATCTCACTAAATTGACCAGATTGGACTTGAAGTTGTTTTTTTTTGTTTTTTTTTTTTTTGCCTTTTCGAGACAGGGTCTCGCTATGCAGTTCAGGTGGGCCTTGGGCTTACTTTGTAGCCTAGGCTGGTCTCGAATTTGCAGTAATCCTCCTGCCTCAGCCTCCCAAGTGCTGGGATTACAAGGTTGTGACAACACACCTGATTACAGGCTTGAATTTGTGATCTTCCTACCTGAGTCTCCCAAATTGCTGGGATTGTGGTCATTGTGTGTATGTATGTATTTATTGGTTTGTTCCTCTGGTTTTTTTGAGAGCATCTTGCTCTCTGTTTCAGACTGGCCTTAAACTCATTATGTAGCCCAGACTGGCCTCAAACTCAAGGCAACCCTCTTCTTTCAACCTCCTGAGTGTAGGGATTACAGGCATTTACTATCATGCCTGGCAGGTCATTAGTTTTTAAATTAGCATTTCTCTGATGAATAAGGATTCTTTTAAGGGCTTATTTGCCATCCATGTGTTGTCTTTGGTTAATATTACCTGTGCATCAGAATGTTATCACTGGTTCTTGTCTTTTTGTTTTTTTTGTATTGGGGATCGAACTTAGGAACTTGCACTTGCCAGGCAGGTGCCATGCCACTGAACTATATCCCCAGACTTCTGCTTTTTCTTTGGGTTTGGGATAAACTTTTTTTTTTAGTATTAAAATTGCCATATTTTGTATTTAAATTAGATTTTGGAATAGAAGGTAAAAATACCATAAAGGGCAAGCTTTACTCTAGCCTGAAATAAGCAGGAAAGTTTTATGGACATTTAAAACATTCCTGTGGGACACAAAATGGAGGGGACTATGTAAGCAAATGTTCAGATACGATGGAATGGTGTCTTGATTACTTTTCTCATGTTGGGACAAAACACCCAACACCCAAAATAAAGGAAGGAAAGTTTTATTTAGCTTACAGTTTCTGGAGGTTTCAGTTCATAATTAGCTGGCTTCAACACAGGAATGCGTGGCACTGGGGCCATACTTAAAGGCAGCAGAGCAAAAAAGAAGGAAGAGCAAGCTTTTTTTCCCTCCCTTATAGTGTATGTAGGCTCCTCCTCCCCTCTGCCTGAGTGAATGTAGTACTCATAAAATTCCAGTGCCCTCTTCTTATGCAGGATGAGGATATTTACAAAGTAAGGATGGTGGCTCCCTGCTGAGTCTCTTAGTTAAACTTCTAAACTTCTCAAATTGACATAGTGTATCAGCCATAACAAATGCTATATATTGCAGCATTTGACCTGTTTGGACCATATTTTTAAAAATCTGGTCATTCCTAGTCGTGATGCCAACCTTTAATTAGTTTGTAATCTAGCAGCACAAGTAAGACCAACACATGTGTCACTAGAGTGTTATGAATCCAGAGGAAAGTATGGGTTACTGTATGAGAGCATGTCAGTAGTTAGTATTTGATGGTCTGCACAGTGTGAGGAACAGTTTTTAGGAGGAAGTGATTATAAACTGGAAGCTAAGTGCCTGGGAATATCTCAGGTGAAGTTGTGGAGAAATATTCTGTGTTGAGAGGAAGCATACTTAAAAATACATAAAAGCATTTAACCTTACTGAGTTTGTAGGGTATGATAAAGAGATATAGCCTGAGACTAGTTCCTGAAGTATGAAGAGAAGTATGGGAAAGATGTGATTTAGCAGAGGAGTAACATGGTTGAGAGTATGGTTTTAGGAAAGAAACTTGACCCAAATCTCATTTTTCCCTAGGAACCAAAGAAATGTTGCTAAGGTTTATTAAAAATTGAGCTTTCCTTTTCTATTTGCTTTTTTTCCCTCCCTTCTAGGTTATTTTCTTTCTTCTGAAATAGCTTGTTTCTTGTCTTACCTCTTTTCTTTCCCTGTATAGCTGGGTATTGAACCTAGGGCATTATACTGCAAATGCTCTAGCCCTGAGATACATCTCCAGACCTTTTTACTGTTTACATTTTATTTTGAGACAAGATCTCATTAATTTGCTTCCACTGACCTCAAACTAGGGGACCATCCTGCCTTGGCTTTCTGAATATCTTGGCTTATAGGAGTTTTCAACCATGCCCAACTGGTCAGTGATAATTTAAATGGTTAATTAGTAAAACTTGGGATTTAACAGAGACATTACTCTCGTCATCTTTAAGGAAACCAAAGAAACTAGATGTTTGAATTACCAAATTTTATTGTGTGTGTGTATATATATATATATATATATATATATTTTTTTTTTTTTTTTTTTTTTTTTTTTTTGTCTTTTTCCTTTTTATTGGTACCGGGGATTGAACTCACAACTGCCTGCTTGGCATGCTTATGCCGCTGAACTAAATCCCCAGCCTCCCGCTTTTTTTTTTTTTGAGACAGGCTCTCACTGCAGTTCAGGCTGGCCTTGAGCTCATTTTGTAGCTCAGGCTGGTCTCAAACTCACCACAGTTCTCCTGCCTCAGCCTCTCAAATGCTGGGATTACAGGTGTGTGCCACCATACCTGGCAAATTATAAACTTTTAAGGTTTACAAAAATTTGTTGTTTTATCTGTTGATACTTTATATTTAATTTTTATGCCTATACTGTATATACCTCAGAATGAGTTTACTTCTCAAAAAAGAAATTTACTAGTATCTTAAACTTTCTCTAAGCTTTTGTAAGTAGCTTAGATAGAAGAAAGTCTATTAATTAATTTTGAGGATGGAATGACAAAATCATCATTTTTGTGAAGATTGAGTGTTTCTTATGAAATCCAGATAGTCCTAGAATCACTTCCTTTCCTATGGGATAGTAACCTGTTAACTATTTTAGGATAAGTTCTGTCTTTTTGAAAGTTTGTTCCTGTCAGGATAATGACACAGTAAATTGCCTGTTGTTTCTGTAAGCATCTCTAAAGTTAATTTAGGCATTAGAGAATTACACTTGTTAAATTTGCTTTGTAAATAATAGATATATACAAATTAATGATGTTTTTACAACAAAAATTGAATTATTTTACCTTCATAGCGCTGGCTGACAGAGCAGAGAGCTCAGTGTCCTCATTGCCGGTAAGTGTTTTGCTACATTATTTTTGAACTTGGAAAATATTAAGGCTGTGGAGTTGGAGTGTGCCCTAGAATTCATTTTTTTTTTCTAATTTGCTAGACTTTTCTTATGAATACTGTTGAATAGAAAACAGTGTGTCTAGAGAAAAATCAGACAGGCTAATTTATCTGACTTAGGTTTATGTAGGAATCCCTTTGTTTGGTGTTTTCTACCCTTGTCCCTTTTAGAAAATCATTGTATAACTTATTGTGGGGCGGTGGGGGATGCTGGGCATTGAAGGTCTTTACATTGAACTGTTATCTGCAGTTCTTTTTTAGGTTTTAGTTTGAGACAGGGTCTTTTTAAGTTACTTTTTCAGGCTGGGCTTAAATTTGTGATCTTTTTGCTTTAGCCTCACAAGCAGCTGGGATTATTTCCATATATGTGTGTGTTATGCATGTGCATGTGTGTGCTTTGTTTTATTGTTTTAATTTATTTGTTTGCAATACTGGGGACTACACCCACCACCTCCATAATGAGTTACACCCTATCTATTCAGAGTGTCTGCATATGTGTATGTGTATGTGTGTGTTTTGTTTGTTTTGTTTTCATGACAGGGTCTCACTACGATGTTCAGGTTAGGCTTCAACTTAACTTGCTTCAGCCTCCAAGAGTGCTGAGATTACAGGTATGTGCCACTATACCTGGCCATAATTTTTAAAAATGATAGGTATCTTTTCTTTTCTTTTTTTGTTTTTGGTACTGGGATCAAACTCATGACCTCACGCTTGCCAGGCAGGCACTTATGCTTCTGAGCTAACTCCCTGGCCTTAGATATTTTAATGGAATGTATACGTGTCATTTTTTAAAGAAATTTGAATAATCCATTGTAATAACTATGCCTTGATTTATTTATGCCCATTTTGAGATACATAGGGTGTTTCTACTTTTTAATGTCAGAGCACCTTCTTCTGCCCATTTTTTATTCTGTATTGTTTACATTTAGCTTGCAAGAAGACCAGCTGTATTATTCTACTTCTACACTATCCAGTATGTTAGTCGCTAACTACCTGTCGTGATTTAGCTCTTGAGATGTCTAGTGTGAGCATGTGATGGAATTTCAGGGTTTTCTTTTCTTTTTCTTTGAGACTAAATTTTTATAAATAAAAATTTTCTGAGACTAAATTTTCACTATGCAGTTCAGTCTGGCCTTGAACTCACTTTGTGGCCCAGGTTTGCCTCGACCTCACAGCAACGTCTTGTTTCAGCCTCCTAAATTCTGGGATTATAGGTGTGTACCACCAAATGTGGCCTGATGTTTAAGTTTCTTTAAAAAATTAAAATGGTGACATGTAGATAGCAGCTATTCCTTTTGTGTGTGTGTGTGTGTGTGTGTGTGTGTGTGTGTGGTTCTGGAGGCCAAACACACTTCTTTTTTTTTTTTCCTGAACCCATTTCTTGAGCACACTAAGGCATGTGCTCTACCACTGAACTATACTTGTGACCCCATGGATATCATTTTATACAGTTTAATGATTAAAGATTGAAAATTAAGTTTGTATTGTGAATTATCAGTACTTTTTGCTTAGTTGATTTTTCTTTTCGGTAATTGGTGTAAAATCATAACATGGTGGGTTCAAAGTTTATATTTGTGTTTTGTTATTTTAATAGTATTATGATATGAATATGGTTATAGGCTCTGATTTGAGGAATATATTTACTTTAAAAAATTAATCTTAAAATCCTGAGTTAGAATATGTGTGTGAATTTTCTTCCCAGTGCTCCATTGCAGCTACGAGAACTAGTAAATTGTCGTTGGGCAGAAGAAGTAACACAGCAGCTGGATACTCTTCAACTCTGCAGTCTCACCAAGCATGAGGAAAATGAAAAGGACAAGTATGCCCTCAATTTCCTACCTCAAATAGATTTTACTGCATGCCATTTTAATGATGCTATATAAGTGCATCTTTGTGAGTGCATATATATGTGTGTGTGTGTGTGGTGCTGGGTATTAAACCTAGGGCCTCATGGCTGTGAAACACTGAACTAAACTTCCAGCCCAATTGATATTTTATTTTATTTTAGTTTGTTTTGTTTTATTTTTCAGTACCAGGGATTGAATTTACAACCTGGCACCTGCTGGGCAGGCGCTTATGCCACTGAGCTAAATCCATAACCCCTCAAATGACACTTTAATAATAGTTTTCTTTTAGTTATTTATAAATAAGAAATTTAATATTTCTTAAATAATTCTTTCATTTGACGGTTTTTAAAAATATTTAAAATGAATTTTAAAATATTTAATATTTGTGGCATGAATATGCATACATATTTACACATGTACATAAAGTTCTTGTTATACTTAGGGGAGATACAGGACCAATTTTTGCCTGATTAATAGGAACACAATTAGAATACCATGTTATTTTTGGAGAATGCCTTGGGAATAGAAATTTTTTTTAAAATTTTATTTAAAGAAAAAACAAAACAGAAAACGGGTAGAAATAGTATATACTTTCAAAGAAAAGAAATAAACAGTAATAAATCACTAGTTGATGTATACATATTGTCCCCCCACAAATAATTGTTCAAGACACAAAAGTGGAACATATAAATGGGAATTCAACCAGGGAGACTGCAAACAGTTCTGTTCAACTATCTAACAAAAGCTAAGTAATATGGCTATCAATCCTATACACTTAGACATATACGCATTTACCCGTATCTTCATTTACGTTGAGACCAAATGAAATTTAGTAGATTAAAATCATTCTGAACAAAGATTAATAGTATTGTTGGATTTCACATCATGACACTCTGGAATCAGCACTGGGTACTGCAGTGCTCCTTTTTTTCCTTCAGAGTATTTTTTCATTTCATCATGTGTCTGTCATAAGATCAGTTCTCATAAACTGTTTATAGGTTTTACACAATCGTGAGTCTTAAGATGTATTTCTATCCTTTCTATATTAGAGGGAGAAACAAAACAAAGCAGGACAGAACAAAACATATTCCTATAGACACATAAAACTAAAAAGACATATAAAACTGCTGTATAAGGAGTTCTACCATGGTCACTATGCTGTCTCTTGCTATCATCAACAGAATTGGCTATATCATCAGATAAAGTATAATTGAATATATCAGTACATAACAGAATTAATAGAAATACAACTTTATAGATAGTGTAGAGCTACAAAAACAGGTAGTAATCAAATCAGAATGGGTATGGTAGTGAATCATTGTCATTTTCAGTATAGTTGTCTGTACCCTTCAATTTGATACCATCAACCTAACAGTTTTGAATAAAATCTGTCAATAATAAGCAGCAGTCAAACAAATCAGATTTAACTAAGATCAGTCATGATACAACAGTATCAGTTATACAGGGATCTGGATTAAGTTAATAAGAAATTAAAGATGACCACTGTGCTATATCCTGATATCTTCGGGACAGCTCTCTGTGCCCTCAGATCCAGTGATTGTATACAAACTGGGACGGAACAAGTTCCAACTAAGCAGAGTAGTGCGAGTAATAAGGGTTTTAATTCCTGATACACTATTAGCAATATCTTCTGTCTTTTTAAAGACTCTTCCTCCCCTTTTACTCCCCCAGGATGTACTGTGTATTTTTGGATCTCCCCAACACTCTTGTTTTTATATTGGGGGGGGGGCAACCTGGTATTTATCTTAAGTGTTTCCGAACTTTCTCACTCCTGGACTTGATCTTGTACTTCTTCACTTATTGAAGCCTGTCTTTTCAACCTATCCATAAATTCTGGTCCAGTTACCCCTTTTACTTTCTGGTTCCCTATCACAGCAAGTTCTGTTTTCTCATATTTGATTTTGGTCCGTATACCCTTCTTCAGGTTAATTATATTTCCTATAAAGAGCATCTCGGTGGACCCTACCTCTTGATCCACTCTGCCTGTGATTCTCTCTTTTTTCCCATAAGTTAGTGTATTTAGGCCCTCTATATTAGAAATTATACCCAACCTTCTCTGCCTCTTTTCTGTTGTGCTCTTTTTCTGTCATTAGTTGTCTGTTTGTCCTTCTTCATTTCGCTTTTTGTTCCATTCGTTGGGGCCTCTCTGCCACTGTTCCTGAAATCCTGGTGTTTTTCCTCTCTCTTTAGAATGTCCTGCAGTATTCTCTTTAGAGTTGAATTGGTGGCTGGAGATTTAGCTCAGCGGCATAAGTGCCTGCCTTGCAAGCAGGCAGTCGTGAGTTCGATCCCCGGTACCGATAAAAAGGAAAAAGACAAAAAAAAAAAAAAAAAAAAAGAATGTAGAGTTGAATTGGTGGTTGTGAATTCCCCCAGTTCCTCTTTATCTTGGAAGCTTCTTGTTTTTCCATTAATTTCTAGGGACAATTGTGCAGGATACATCAATCTGAGCTGGAGGTTATTTTCTTTCAAGGCTTGGATTATTTCGCCCCATGCTTATCTCGATTTGATGGTTTGGGCTGAGAAGTCTGCTGTAATTCTGATGGGTTTTCCCTTGTAAGTGATCTGTTTCTTGTCTCTGACAGCTTTTAATATTCTGTTCTTAAATTGGATTTCTGGGATCTTGATTATTATATGCCTGGGTGTAGTTCTGTTTTGGTTGTAGGTGGCTGGATTTCTGTATGCCTCATACATCTGAGTATCTTTTCCTATGTTTGGGAAGTTTTATTTCTGTGAATAGCCTTTGCAGTTCCTTTGTTTGTACCCCTACTTCTTCATTCACATTCTTTATTCTTAAGTTATAGATCCTCTTGTCATCTTTTAGCCTTTGTATTATTAGTGCTTGTTTCCTTGTTATTTTTAAGAAATTTTTCCTTTCATGTTCCCACATTGCAAACTCTGTCCTCCAGTTTGGATAACCTATCCTTAGTTTTTTCCAAGCAGTTTTGCCAGCTTTCAATGGAGTTTTTAATTTCCTGGTAATCTCTTTGAACCGGCTTCATGTATTCTTTGTTTTCTCTATTTTCTTCATCAAACAATTCTCCCCCCTTTTTTTGTTCTTCTGTTCTTCCATCTTTTTTTTCTTGGGAGGTGCTTAGCATTTCTTTAATTATTCTATTTATATCTTGCTTTACTTGGTTTCACTTTTGAACTTGTCTATGAGGTCCCAAACATATCACTATGTCTATTGGTACTGTGTCTGATATTGCATGTTTGCTGTCCTCATTCTCCTTTGCATTTCCCTTTCCTGGATCAGTGTTCTCAGGATTTGGGACTGAGGACCCTTTCTTCTTGCCTTCTCTTCTCATATTTTTTGTTCCTTCCCTACAGGCATATATAGGAGGCCCAGTTTCTTTCTTTGTTGGTTACAGTTTGTCTGAAGCATGCTAACTAGGTGGTCCTGCCCACTGCAGTGTACTAGGAGGTACAGATTCCGCCAGCCTATGTTGGGCCTGCCCCTCCGGGTCAGTCAGCCTGCTGAAGGCTTCACTTCATTAGGATGCACTGCCAGCCGTAGGAACTTGGTTGGGCTAGCCTGTTGGGTTTCAGTCCAGGCGTCACCCAGGTCAAGTGCTCCCCACCTATCCCGCTTGAGAAGGGAATAGCTGACTGAAGTCACTGCAGCCCCTTGTTCTGGCCAATCTGCCCAGTCCCAGAATGTTGTCTGTTGGAGCTCCCCCTTCTCTATGGAAGGGTTTTTATTCTGGTCACTCACAGCAGGTCACTGCAGGGTTCCCCCCAGCTCTGCTCTCAGTTCTGTTTGCTGACTCCTGCTCTTAGTGCATATGCATCTCCAGTGAGTTGAAACTGGTGGGCTATCCCGCCTGTGCCAGTTCAAGTGCAGCAGCAGCAGCAAGTTCAAGCAGCAGCACTGAGACTGTAGCTGTTCCAATCGTAGCACCAGGACCGTATTTTTAATTGGTTTCTCTCAGCTTAGTTTGTTCCTGGGTCTGGAGGGTGTATCTCCCTTTGTTTGGCACTCCCCACACTGTATTATTTTTGGAATCTAAGTTGACTATCTCAGAGAGTCTCTATAGCCTGCTGGTATCTATCCACCATCTTTTTTCCTCCCCCGGGAATAGAATCTTTGAGCAGTAAGAACTAACAGATGGTCTTTCATCATATGATGGTGCAGTTTTGATCATATCTGGAGGATTATGAGGATAGATATAGTAATGTGACAGTTTTATAAATGGAGAAACTACAAGGTTAATTGCAGGCAACACTGTCTAGCAATGGTAAAGTAACTTAGGAGACATATAAGAATATTGTTTATTTAGGATGTCTGTTGTATTGTGGATTGAAGCAAGGGCCTTCATACTAGAAATGGTACCCAGCTCTTTTTCACTTTTTATTTTGATTTTGATTTTTTATTCTGAGACAGGATCTCCCAAAGTCACTAAATTGTCCAGTCCAACCTTGAACTTGCTTTTCTCTTGCCTTAGCCTCCCAAAGTGTTGGGATTATAGGTGTGTGCCACCACATACCTTTCTTTGAATGTTTTATTTTTTAAAAAATAAGGTAATTTTTTTTCTAAATTCATAGCCTATTAAAGCAAGAGGTTGAAGCTTTAGGGGTTATTAGAAAAATTTATAATTGTTCCTTCATTGTGCTGAGAAAACAGAACCATAGAAGTGCAAGAGGCTTAACATGTTAATTCATAATCAGAAATAAAGCCTAGTGTTGTCTCTTCTATTCTAGTTAAATCTGGACTTTTAAGGATTTCTGTTACTTTTAGCATTATGAATGTCACACCAAAAGTAATGATCTAATTTTTTTCTATATATTTTTTCTTTTCTTTTTTATTGCATATTTGCAATACAAAATAAATGCATTCATTGTCTTAGTACAAACACATCTCATCTTGTTCCTTTTCACTTTCTTCCTCTTCCTCTCTTCTACCTGTCATTCACAAATCACTTTACCCTCTCCACAAAGCCTGTCCTATTCCCTTTTATCTCTCATTTTGCTCCTAAATTATATATACTTTTGAGTTCATCATACAAAATCTATAGTATATTTCACAGGTGAACAATTAGGTACTTTTTCTCAAGAATAATGGATATTATATATAGAAAGGCCTTTTATTTGTTCTTGGACAGTGTTGAGAGCTGCTCATACAAGTTGTTGGTATGTTGCTCCCATTTTGAGCAGCTGGGTTATAGGCATGTGGGCCAATATGCCTGGTTTTCTATTTTAAATTTTTTTTTTTTTTTGTACTGGGGATCAAACTCATGACCTTGTGCTTGCCACTCATGCCACTGAGCTAAATCTTTGGCCTTCTATTTTAAATTTTGAGGAACCTCCATACTATTTTCCATGGTGGCTATAGCATATTATAATTCTACCAATAGTGCCTAGGGTTCCAGTTTCTCTACCTGGCCAATAATTGCAGGACTTGCTTGTTCTTTGTTTTTCTTTTGTTTGTTTTCATCACAGACATCTAATGGATGTGAGGTTTTGATTTGCATTTGCCAAGGGACTTAGTAGTAGTAGTATGAACATCTTAGTACACTTGTTGGCCATGTGAATTCATGTATCTTCTTTGGAGAAATGTGTAGGAATGTCATGTGCTCATTTTAAAATCTAGGGTGTGTTAATTTGTCAGGTTCTTTGTTCTTTGTATGTTTTGGATGTTGATCACTTATCAGATACATGATTTGTGATTTTTGCTTGTTTTTAGGTTGTTTTTTAACTCTGTTGACTTTTTTTTTTGTCTTTTTGAAACAGGGTCTCACTATGCTATTGCAGCTGGCCTTGGGCTTACTTTGTAGCCCAGGCTGGACTTGAACTTGCACTGATTCACCTGTCTCAGCAGCCTCAGCCTTCTGAGTGCTGGGATTATAGGCGTGTGCTACCACACCCACCTACTCTGATTTAACGTGCACAACTTTAAAATTTTATTGTTGTCATCTGAGCTTTTGGTATGACATCCAAGAAATTACTGTCAAACTTATGTCATGAAGTTTTTCCCTCTTTGTGTTTTGCTCTAAGAGTTTTAGCTCTTGATTTTACAATTAGCTCTTTGATCCATTTTGAGTTCATTTTTGTATGTGATGTAAAGTAAGGGTCTGTAGTAATTGACTAGGGCAACTTGTAGCAGCACCACTGACTTGGTGGCTTAACCAAGAGAAATTTATTTTCTCAGTTTTGGAGCTGTAATTCTAAGCTCAAGGTGCTGGCAGGGTTGGTTGCTGGTGAGACCTCTTTCTTTAGCTTACAAATGGCCACCTTCTTGCTTTGTCCTAACATGGTCTTTGTTATATATGTTTTTACCTTATAAGGATCTAGTCCTTTTGGATTTGGGTCTCTTTTTTATGACTTTATTTGACCTCTGTTACTTCCTTAAGATTCCTGTCTTCAAATAAAGCTATATTGGGGGTTAAGGCTTCAATATGTGAATTTTGGGAGGACATAATTCAGTCTGTAATAGAGTATAACTCCATTATTTTGCATATGGATATCTGGTTTAAGATATTGGATATTATTATATTATTATTATCCATTATTTTGCATATGGATATCTGGTTTAAGATATTTAAAAAAACAAGATATTTAAGATATTGAGTTACTTCCCATGAGATTCTGGTATTATAGTATGCAATTAATTATATGTTGGCTGTTATCATGACTGGTCACGTGTGGGAAAAGTATTTGTACAGTACACATGCTTATGTATGTATAGATATTTCAATCTGATTATTAATCCTAAAAGAGAACAGTAGGCAAGTATTTATCATCTGTATTGATACCAGGAAGTGGTGCTTGTTGGTATATCATTTAGAAAGGAATGTGCAATTTGCATATGTTTATAGTAATGAAACAGTACTTTAAGAAATTTTGTCAATGCATAATTCTTTATCTTAATTTCCTGAAGCTACAGAATAGATTTCATATTGTGGTTTTTGGAGACATAGTCATTTAAAATTGACCTGTTTGTCCAAACTTAGAAATTTATTCATGCAATTATATTTTAATTTTTATTTACTTAATTTATAACCATGTTTTCTTTTCAAAATGTAGGTGTGAAAACCATCATGAAAAGCTTAGTGTATTTTGCTGGACTTGTAAGAAGTGTATCTGCCATCAGTGTGCACTTTGGGGAGGAATGGTGAGTATAATAAATTTTAGCATACCGTGGAACATTTTAAGTACTGGATAGTTTGTTTATTTTATTTTGTTTTTTGTTTTTTTAGTCTTTTTTGAGACAGGGTCTCGCTATGCAGTTCAGGCTGCCCTTGGGCTCATTTTGTAGCCTAGGCTGGTCTCACACTCGCAGTGAGCCACCTGCCTCAGCCTCCTGAGTACTGGGAAATACTTGTTTGATTTAGTTAGAAAGTAGTATTATTACTCTGTAGAATGAAAATTAAAATGTGTCTGCTTTGTATGTACCTTAGGAATAAGAATTCCAGAAGAAGTTCTTTGAGTGGGCATGTATAATGTCAAATTCGTACCCCTTAAATTAATATTTTAACCTAGTACCTATAGAATTTTTATTCATGTCTAGCTCCTTCATTTCCTTTTTAGTGTTGTGGATCAAACATAAGGACTTTTTGTGTGCTAGGCAAACATTCTACCAGTGAGCTACATCCTTAGCCCTACTTGCATCTCTGTATCTTTGCTTATAGGATGAATGTCTTTTTTTTTTTTTGAGTGTTTCCTTTTTATCGGTACCGGGGATCGAACGAATGACTGCCTGCTTGCAAGGCAGGCGCTTATGCCGCTGAGCTAAACCCCCAGCCCCGATGAATATCTTTTATTTGATTAAAGTTGAGTTGGTCTGATACATTGACCATAATTTCTGACTTTGATTTCTTTAAAACAATTAGTGCTCAAATATTCAAACCATGTATAACTCTTTTTTTTTTTTTGTCTTTTTCATTTTTATCGGTACCGGGGATCGAACTCATGACTGCCTGCTTGCAAGGCAGGTACTTATGCCGCTGAGCTAAATCCTCAGCCCCCCATGTATAACTCTTACAGTTAATTACTTTTTTCTAGTCTCTGTCTTTGTTTCTCTCTCTCCCTTTCTCTTTTTGAGACAGAGTCTCACTGTGCAGGCCTTGAGTTTACTTTGTAGCCCAGGCTGGTCTTGAACTTGCATAGATCCTCCTGTCTCAGCCTCCTTAGTGCTGGGATTACAAGAGTGTGGCACCACACCCAGCTTTTCACCTCTTTCAAAAAAGCAGATTTTTTTTTTTTTTTAAAAGACAGATTCTCAACTTATTCATTAGGCTGGCCTTGAATCCTCATGCCCAAGTTATCCTCTTGTCTTAACCTCCCAAGTAGCTAGAACTATAGACATGTGCCACTTAGCCTTGCTGCAAAAGCAGATTTTTAAAAGGCCATCTATGTTTCTTAAGTCTAAAGCATTTAAGTTAGTTTACTTACAAGCAACTTGTTATATTTATAGTCATGTTTTAGTATGTATTTAATATTTAAGTAATTTCTTTGTGGTAAATATATTATAAACATAAATAGATTGAGAAAAAGTATAAGACTTTTTTTCTTTGATGGTGCTGGTGATTGACCTCAGAGGCTCCTGGAGCATGCTACTCTGAGTTGCATCTGCAGCCTGATAAAATAGTCTTAGTGGGAAAATAAGTGATCATGGGAATAGAAATGTGTGGATGACTAGAATTGCCTATTCATCATGAGACTTGATTGTTCCGTGGGTACCAGTCAGTATATTTTACAGAAAGGGTGATAGGCCTACTTAGTTGACTAGCGCTCAGTTTTGGAGCTCTGTTCAAATTTGAATACTAATGTGCTGATCAGAAACATTTTTTTCAGTTTAATATTTAGACAGGCTTTGTAAGAGCCAATGAAAACATTCTTTTCCATGCTTTAAGTGAATGTTTAAAAATTCACATCTTTCAGGATGTGTTGGAAAAATGCCTATAGTCTCAGCTACCCCAAGGTTGAGGTGAGAGGATTGCTTGAGCCTATGAGTTTGAGACCAGTCAAAAGAACATAGCAAGACTTTATTGCTTTGCAAAATATAGATAGTGAAAAGCCACATCTGTTTTTCTACCTCCTCTTAGATAACAGTGTGGGGTACTTTGGCTAATCCTTTATTCATTATTGGACTTTTTTTGTAATATATAAATATTGTACATTAACTGACTGCACTACTGGAGCTCCAAGGACTTTTATAATGGAAACCTTAAGTCTTCTTTACCCATCAAGAGCTATAAATGTTTCTAGAATTGGATTGAAAATTGGTTTTTTAGCACCAAAAAATGGTTCTTTGAACTGAATGCAACTAGGCATACCATGCTATTTTGTATTAGCTTTCTATCTCTATAGTAATTTATTATTTTTTTGCAATACTTGGAATTGAATGCAGGACCTTTGCTTTTTAAAATTTTTTTTTGTACTGGGAATCAAACTCAGAACCTTGCAATTGCCAGGCAGGTGCTGTGCCACTAAGCTATATCCCCAGCCCCTGGGCCTTTATATTAAACTACATCCCAACACTTTTTTATTTTTGAGATGGGTTCTCATAATGTTGCTGTTAGGTGGGCCTTGAACTTGCAATCATCTTCCCTCTCAGAATGCTGGAATTAAAAACATGTGCCAGCCAATTTCCAGCTTTCACAGTAATTTCTTTTGTGGGATGAATAATGAACTCATTGCCTTTGCCAAGTCTGTACACTTGATTTTTGCCTCAAGTATTCCTCTCTCCTTTCTTTCCTCTCTTCTTTCACTTTCTATTTTTTATTTGTTTCTCTCTCTCTCTCTTTTTTTTTTTTTTTGGAGAACTGGGGATCGAAGTACTTTGTAAATTTTAGACAAATATTCCACCATTGTTTTACATCTTGTGCTAGAGACTGAGGATTTGATTATGAATAACACAGGTATCAAACAATTCCATATTTAATTGGTATGATAAATTTTAGGGATAGAGAGCTGATGAAATGATAATATAGGAATTGCTTTTGAATAAGACCTGGAGGAAAGAAATTTGAGTATGTATTTATTTTGAGATAGGGCTTCACTCTGTAATTCAGGATGATCTTGAACTCTGCGTAGCCCATGATGGCCTCAAACTAGCAGCAATACTCCTGCCTAGGCCTCCCAAGTGCTGAGATTATGGGTGTGCTCCACCATGCCCACTGAAATTTGGGGTTATGAAAGAAAGCTAGTGTAGGGGCTGGGGATTTAGCTCAGCGGCATAAGCGCCTGCCTTGCAAGCAGGCAGTCGTGAGTTTGATCCCTGGTATCGGTAAAAACGAAAAATACCAAAAAAAAGCTAGTGTTCAAGAGAAGAGTGGCTAAGAAGGCTTTGAGAAATGATTTAGACTGTGGTTAATATTTTCTTTATCTTAAGTCTGTGTGATAGCAGATGCCTGTAATTTCAGCACTTGGGAGGCTAATCCAGGAGTATCACCCCGAGTTGAGAGCACTCTGATCTACATACTGAGCTTAAGGCCAGTCCGAACTACATGAGACCCCGGAAAAAATGTTTTTTTCTTTTTCCTTCTCTTTTTCTTTTTCTGGTGTTTTTTTTTTTTGTTTGTTTTGTTTTTGTTTTTTGCATTGTTACAGATACCACCTGGGGTCTTGTTTGTGCTCGGTAGGCAGGTGCTCTGCCACTGAATTACATCCCAGCCCAGGATTTTGTTTTTCTAATGAGCCCAAGATATGTAGGTAAAGGTGAACTTTGTGTTAAGAGTCCATTATTTCTGATCTTAAAGGAGTTCCCACATGGGCCCAGTGATTATATATGTACTGATCTGCTTTAGTAAAATAAAGGGATATGGAAAGTACTCATTTAAAAATATTTACCTGAATATTAGTATCCATAGTGTGAGAAATGAATGTATGGTGTTGTACCTGTGTAATTCCAACTGCTTGGGAGGCTGTGACTGGAAGATCACAGGTTAGAGGCAACTTAACAAGACTGTCTAAAAATAAAATTTAAAAGTGGACTGAGATATAACTTAACAGTAGAGCCTGCTTGCCTACTGTTAAGTATATCAGACCCTGTGTTGAATTCCTACTACCACAAAAAGTGGGGTGGTGGTGATATTAAATGCAGATGAGATATTAGAAAATCTTTTAAAACTGCTCTTATTAATTTACATAGCATGGTGGACATACCTTTAAACCTTTGGCAGAAATTTATGAACAGCATGTCACTAAAGTGAATGAAGAGGTAGCCAAACTTCGTCGACGTCTCATGGAACTGATCAGCCTAGTTCAAGAAGTGGTAAGACTGCTTGCTATATGAGCATCCTTTTTGTATTCTATAGTATAATGCAAATATGTGATGTTGAAATCAATATTTGAAATTTGGTAGGATTATTTTAGATAGGCTCATAAACTTTAAGCTAGGTGAGGAAATTTTTTTTTTCCATTAGTTATAACTTGTAAGTATTTTTCCAATCACAGCTGAGCAGTAACTCAATACTTCATGTTTTTCTCCTCAGGAAAACATAGCACTACTGAGTGACTATGACATACTGTGGAGAACTTCATTCTGTGGTCACTGTGTTAAGAGCTCTTGGTTTCACATTCCCACAAGCCCTCTTTGAAATGACCTAGCTGAGGAATTTATATCCTGAGTCTTGGCTAGTGGGGAAGGAGCTAAAGCTAGAGATTTTTTTTTTTTTTTGGTTCTGGGGACTGAACTCACGACCTCACACTTACCAGGCAGGCAATTATGCCATTGAGTTAAATCCCCAGCCCCCCTCCCCCCCTGTTTTTTTGGTACCGAGGATTGAACTCATGACCTCATGTTTACCAAGCAGGCACTTATGCCACTGAGCTAAACCCTTGGCCCTAAAGCTAGAGATTTAACTCTTGCAGGATTAGGAAATTGCCAAAGTAGTCTGCTTATTATAGAATGAATATTTGATTTCTCCACATTGACTTCAGTAGTCATTAAAGTTGTTCATTCTTTAAATCTCCAGTTTTGGGAAGGTTTCTGTTGCAAAGGAAAAATATTTGTAATGTTCTGAGTATACTCTTACAGAGCAGAAGGAGTAATATTTAGTAATACTGTCTCAGTTACTTTTCTCCTTGTTGAGACAAAATACCTAATAACCAAAGTTAAAGAAGGAAAGTTTATTTTGACTCAATAGTTTATAGAGGCTTCAGTTCCTAATTGGCTGGCTCCAATGCAGGGTAGTATGGCAGAGGGGCATCACAGAAGTGAAATACAGTTGATGGTAAGCAGAAGGCAGCAAATGATGACAGTCGCAGCCCTTTTCTTTCCCTTATATCCTGTTCAGGTTACCTACCTTTAAGGCAGCACTCGCACCAAGGGTAGGGTACCCTTAACCCTAGAATTGCACCCTGAATCAATCCCAGCACCACTTCCTTGGTCCCAGCATTATAGCTTCTAGATCTTGCCACCTCTGAAAAGCCCCACCTATGACCATGTGAGGTTTCGGGAGTACATTTAGATACAAGGCACAATGATTATCTTAAAATATTACATGGCTCAAAAAAATTTGTATGGCACAGTTGATGACCATCATATATTTTAAAATGTTTGGTTGGTTGGTTGGTCTTGCTGTGTAGTTCAGGCTGGCCTCAAACTCACTATGTAGTCCAGGCTGGTCTCACAGCAATCCTGCTCCCTCACCCACCCAGGGTGTGCACCACCATGCTTGGCTAAAATATTATTTCTGTGGGAAAATGTGATAAACTTCAAGTAATAAATATGCTTTGGGAATATATTTTGTTTACAGTTGCCAAATGACAGTTACAAATAAGATTTGTGTATCTTTTTAGCTTAAGAACAAGTATTCTTGTATGTTTCACCTTTCAAGAATCAAAATCCAAATATTTATTTGTAACAGTCTTTATGTGGAAAATAGTATTGTAGAATTGAATGTATGCTACAAGTCATTTTGAAAAATAAGTAATTTGGCTGGTTTCTATTTGGTCTTTTTCTAACTACTTGTTACCCATTTTTTCTTTAACCACGTTAGGAGGATATTCTAAGTTGAGATTTTGTTTTTGTTTTTGTCTTTTTGAGACAGGGTTTCACTCTGCAGTTCAGGCTGGCCTTGAGCTCATTTTATAGCCCAAGCTGGTCTCGAACTTACAACAGTCCTCATGCCTCAGCCTCCTGAGTGCTGGGATTACAGGCATGTCCCACCATGCCTAGCTTTTTTTTTGGGGTACCAGGGATTAAACTCATGACCTGGTGCTTGCCAGGTAGGTGCTTATGCCGCTGAGCTAAATCTGCGGCCCATCAGCCTTCTAAGTTGAGATTTTTATTGCTAGTATTTATATTTGAGTTGCAAGTATAGGAAGGATTGGTTTTTTATTTTGTGCTGTGCCAATTTGAAATATACATACAGAAAAACTTACTCTTTTTTATTTTTCTTTTTTGGTACTGGGGGTTGAACTCATGACTTCGCACTTCTCAGGTAGGCACTTGTGCCACTGAGCTAAATTCCCAGCCCCTAAAACTTAACTCTTTTTGTATGTCATTCTGAAAACAAAAACAAACTATGGACTGCTGTCAATACTGTTTTTAAACATTTTTATTTGTTTTAGCGTTCTTTAGTCTGTGAAGTGATTCTGTTCATTTAATTTTTTTTTTTTTTTTTTGATTTTTGAAAGAAGATCTTGCTACATAGCTTACACTGCCCTCCAACTTATTATGATTGTCCTGCCTCAGCCTCCCAAATGCTGGGATTACAAGTGTGCTTCACCATGGCTGGCTTTCTGGTTTTAAAAAGTAGTTTTCTGTCAGGGATATAATTATGACTTCACATATGGCCTAGGTATGTTATGTACAGTGTTTTATAATGACACTTCTTTTTATTGATGTTTCTGTTAAATATGCTTTAGTATACCTGCTTTTTTCTAAAAATCTTTTAAACTGATTTAGTTCAAAACTCTGAATTATTATGCTCTACCAACATTTTATGAAAATCATTTTAAAGAGATAACTGATTTAAGAATACTTGCAGTGATTGAATTAATGTCCGTTTACTTCCTTTTTTAAAGTTCTTTAATTAAAGTTCTTTTTACATGTATCTTCTAGGAAAGAAATGTAGAAGCTGTAAGAAATGCAAAAGATGAGCGTGTTCGGGAAATTAGGAATGCAGTGGAAATGATGATTGCACGATTAGACACACAGTTGAAAAATAAACTTATAACACTAATGGGTGAGTTTTTTTTATATGCAGCCTGGAGAACATGGTACTTGGAGCTTCCTGGAGGTTCAGTCTTAGAAGAGTAAATTTCTTGAGTTTTTATAGGCTAGAGTCTTGAAATTGTAGATAACAACTGTTATTATCTGCCTGACTTATATTTAGAAACTATTAGAAAAATTTTCAGTCATTTGGACGAGAATCCTAGTGGCTAAGGGACCTCATCATTAGGTAGCTCCCCCCACTCTTTTTTAAACCAAATTTGATAAATATTTCTACTAATACCATATTTCCCTTCATTCGATAATTAAAGGTGAAGAACTTACACCTCTCAACATGTTTTAGAGTTTTATGAAGTCTTGGTTTCCAATTTCTAGTAGGCCTCATTTTTATATCTAAATTATATTTAAATGTGTTTACAATATTTGTGTTGCTCATGCTTTGGTTCCTTAGAGTCTCTTATTATTCTTTGATTATGGAGTCTAGTACCGTGCTGAAAATAAAATTTAATAGTTTGAATCTGTGCTAATGTTTGGTTGTTTTAGTATTTTTGAGTTTACCTATAATTCTAGTTCTTCTGATATTTTACTGACACAAAACTAGCTTTGCAATTTTCATCATCCATTATGAAAAATATATTAACCTTAATAAGGTATGAACAAAGATTTTTTACTTTCATCTTTCCCAGGGTTTTGGTCATTCTTTGGTGTCATTAAAAATACTGTTTTATCCACTTTAACTTCTTTTTAAAAAGTTATAAATATATTTGAGTTTAGATATATTTATTGTATTCTATGAATCATTTTTATATTATAAATCTGTGCAATCTGATTTACAATTTTTTCCCAAGACATATCAGTGAATAATCTTTGAAAGAAAATCTTCATTTTAGTTAGATGGAACAGTCCAGTTTTTCCACACCATGTAGGAGTTCAGAAGAAACCTATAGACATTTGAGTTTGCCATTCATGGACCACTTAAAGATTGTAAATAATAGCCGGGTGTGGTAGTCCACTCCTGTAATCCCAGCACTCTGCAGAAGGATTGTTAGAAATTTGAGACCAGCCTGGGCTGCAAAGTGAGCTCCAGGCTAGCCTGAACTGCATAGTGAGACCCAGTGTCGCAAAGACAAAAAAAAAAAAACCAAAAAATTTATGTAAGTGGAAGTTGTGATTTTTTGTTTTCCTTAGGTCTGCCTTCAAATGCAGTCAGTCATATGTATGAATGGTCTTATTTCTTCAGTCTCAAATGATGCTTAAGACTGCTGTAAGTTCATTAAGCCAAATAGAGTACAAGAAGGTTGGTGTAGATTAGGACTTTTAAAATTGAAGTCTTGGTTTGGTGGTACATACCTGTAATCCCAGCACTTGGGAGGCTAAGGCAGGAGGCTTACTGTGAGTTTGAGACCAGCCTGGGCTACAAAGTGAGCTCAAGGCCAGCCTGAACTGCATAGTGAGACCCTGTCTCAAAAAGACCAAAAATAAAATAAAATTGAAGTCTTTACTATTATTGTGATTTTAAATATTAATCTAAATATATTTGCAAATTTCCTTGATTTTTAAAAATTAATTTGCTTAATTGATTCATTCATTTAATTGGATTAACTGAAAATAAGACAGTACTGATCTCTTGATTTTTGTGAGTGTAATTCACTGGATGAAATTTTTTCCTTTTACAGTAACTTAACCTGCCCTACTTAGGTGGTTTTCCAATAATTTTCACTATGAAAAGTTATTGTATCTTGTAAATCCCAAGATAGCTTTTATAGTTAAGTAGAATTCTTTCCTGGTTAGAATATCTCTATAATAGTCTTGCTATAAGCTTGCTTAGAACTTCAGACTATGTGTATCACAGTTTCAGCCACTAAATTTTTTGGAATAGGGTCTGGAATGTAGATCCATGTAGCAGTGATCTAGTTGTGTTACCTAGGCTGGCCTTGAACTTGTATCTATTACTAATGTTTAAGTTGAATTATATATGGTACTATTGTCCATAGGAGTAATGTTTTAAGACAATGGTATATGATGTTGGTGATACTTAGCATTACTTCTGGTAATACTAAATCCCAGATTATAATTTATTTATATTTATAAATATCTTTATAATCAGGATGATCTGATTTTTGGTTTTTAAAAAACTAAATAAAAAAATCACTGGTCTTGGTATATACCCCAGCACTCTGAGAGGTTGAAGCAAAGGAATCACAAATTTGAGCCTGTTCTTAGAAATATAGCATATTAAGGAGGCCAGTAGAAGGTCTGACATGGATAGATGGACTGACATGTACCCACGTACCATTAATAAACACACACACGCACACGTTTCTTTTATATAGTAATAAATTTCTATAATAATTCTTTATCCAACTTCTTGAGACTAGTTCTCTGGGTATTCTTTTTTTTTTTTTGGTCTTTTTGAGACAGGGTCTCTATGCAGTTCAGGCTGGCCTTGAGCTTACTTTGTAGCCTAGGCTGGTCTCGAACTTGAAACGATCCTCCTGCCTCAGCCTCCCAAGTGCTGGGATTACAGGTGTGAGCCACCACACCCAGCTGGGCATTCTTTTTTAAACAAGCCTTTATATGCTCATTGGGCATTTTTTGCTTACTTTGAACATAAATATCTGGTCTACTTATTGTATCACACTTTTAAAATGCATGTCTGGTGATTCTTCCAAAAGGAACCTAGAGATCTAGAAAAAAAATTAATAAAATAAATCTGTCCCTTTTTTGCCCATATTTCTTAAAAGTTTTTCAGGGTTTAGGGCATAGGGTTTAGAAATTGTATCATGTACCCAAAATCAAATATCTATGTGATACAATGGAGAATTTTATGAAGGAGAAATTAGCTAATTATTTTGTCTATCTTATTTGTGGAATTAAATTAAGGTTTATAATTATAGTCATTGTAACTTTTTTCTCCTTTTCAATGCTGGGAATCAAAGGCTGTCATTTTACATTTCTTAGATGAATTTAACAGATTTAAATTGAATTTTTTCTAAAAGCAGTAATGGCTGGTTCTAAGAATCTTTTTTTCTTTTCTTTTTTTATTCGGTACCAGGGATCGAACTCACAACTGTGTACTTGCAAGGCAGATGCTTATGCTGCTGAGCTAAATCCCCATCCCAAGAGTATTTTTTTTAAACTACAATTAGATTTAACCTCTTAAAGCTTTTAAAAATCTTTAAGATTGCTCTAATGAATTTATGTTTACTTGAAATGGATTCCTTTTTCTTGAACATATTTGTTGGAATTTAATTTCAATCTTAAACTAGTAGTCTGAGTGTGATAATTAATATATTTAAACAGGTCAGAAGACATCTCTTACCCAAGAAACTGAGCTGTTGGAATCCTTACTTCAAGAGGTAGAGCACCAGGTGATGAAATGTTAAATGTAATAAAATAAGTCTGTCCCTTTTTTGCCCATATTTCTTAAAAGTATTTTGGCATTCAGGACAGAAATTGTATCATGTACCTAAAATCAAGTACCTATGTGCTATAATGGAGAATTTTATGAAAGAGAAATTAGCTAATGATTTTGTCTGTCTTAATTGGGGAAATTAAGGTTTATAATGAGCTGGTTGTGGTGATGTGCACCTGTAATCCCAGCAGGAAGAAGAATTGCTGTGAGTTCAACGCCAGCCCATACTATATACCAAGACCTTGTCTCAAAAGATTTTTTTTTTTTGAGACAGGGTCCCACTACGTACTACAGGCTGGTCTTAACTGATTATCTAGCCCAGGCTGCCGTCAAAGTCATAGCAATCTTTATGCCTCAGCCTTCCAGTGCTGGGATTGCAGACATGTGCCACCATGCCTGGCAGAAAAAAAGATGTATGACGGGTGAAAATATAATTAATTTTCTACTGAAAATTACCCATAGGAATCTGTAAATTTATAAAAATTTAAAATTTTCGCATATTGTGATTTCAGTGGTATCTTTGAGATAGAATGTTATTGCCAGTTACTTAAGTACAGTGATTATATTAAAATTTAGCCTTTTATTAAGTGCCTAGTAGGTTGTAGGTGTCATTTTAGGTATTTGAGAAACATCAGTGAACAGAATGGCAAAAATTCTGTCCTGTTGTGTTTATTAGGGTTTGGAAATATAAATCATATTGTAAGTGAATAAAACATATGTGGTGTCATAGCTAAATGGATGGACTTTGAGACCATACTCTGAAGTGAAATAAATTGGACATACATGTAAATACCACATTCTCTCTTTTGTGTAAGAAACTGAAAATATAAATAAAATCCAAAATATATAATAGAAATTGTGGAATAGGAATAAATTGCTCAAAAAGAAAGTGAGGGGGAAGGAAGGGAAATGGAAAAAGATGAGAAATTGACAAAATAGAAGCAAAACTTTGTAAATAAGAAAGGGAAGGGTATTGAATGCAGGGGGAAGGCAATAAGAATAGAGTAATCAAATGTGTCATGTACAGGTACAAATTTCCTTATGATTAATGTGGTCATTATGCATATCTAAATTATACCAATAAACAATTAAAAACCAAAAAACATAATAATGCTGCAAATATTTAATGTATTGTTTTTGAATTTGTCTTTTGCAGTTTTTTTAAATGTCATTGAAGATTGAACCAGTGAAGTATATCCCTAGTCCTTTTTTATTTTTGAGTACTACTTGCTAAATTTCCTGGCTGGCTTTGAACCTGTAATTCACCTGCCTCAACCTTTCAAGTAGCTGGGATTACAGGTGTTTGCCACTGTGATCAGCTATGTTTTTTGAAATTCTCAAATTTTTCTGTATGCGTGGTACACAGCTATTTCCTGCGATTGTTCTCTTAATAATCCTGAGCATTACCTTCACTTACTTCTTGGATTAAATTCCATAAGTTCCTTAGTCACTGACTTTCACTCTCTTGGCTTGTTTACTTGGGTACTACGCTCCTTTTAGTTGCTTTCTAGAAAGGGTGGTCAGGATTTTTCTGTATTGCATGTTTGAAAATATTTTTATCAAGTACTCATTTTCTTTTTACTACTCTTTGTGTGAATGTGTAGTACTGGAGAATCATCCCAGGAGTTTTACTACATCTCTAGGCGTTTAAAATTTCTTCAAGTTTGCCAGTCTCACTAAGTCACTTAGTTGCCCAGGTTGGGGGTGAACTGGCTCGTCTCAACCTGCTGGAGTGCTGAGATTCCAGGTGTGTGCTATCCATCATTGCCAGCTCAGAATTACACATAAAGAACTGGATATAAGTCCTTTATTATATAAATCTGAAATTTGTTTGTTTTATTTTGGTTTGGTTTGGTTTTGGTACTGGGGATTGAACTCATGACCTTGAACTGGCCAGGCAAACCCTTGTGCCACTGAGCTAAATCCCTTTTCTTAAAGTTTTTCTTTAATTATTTGTGTGCATTTTTCCCCTTAAAAGTGTCTTGGGAAGAATAGAGGTGTCAAATTTTGATGAAGTAAAATTTATCAGTTCTTGTGGTGTCATATTAAGAAATCTTTGCTTTTTTTGTATTTTTTGGAGACAGTTTTGCTATGTAATACAGGTTGGCCTTGAACTTGCTTTTGCAGCCCACGTTGGACTTGAATTCAAACTAGCAGCAGTCCTGCCTCAGCCTCCCAAGAGCTGGGAGGTGTAGTTGTGTACCACCATGCCAGGCCATGTTAAGAAATTCTAACCTACCCCTAAGACCACAAAGATTTTCCACAATTTTTTTCCAGAAATTTTAAATTCAAAATCCTTTTACTTCTGCCTTCCGGATACCTGGGATTAAGTATTGATCACTATGTCTGGATTATACTGTTTTGATTATTGTAGCTTTATAGAAAAGATAGTCTTATGTCTGCAAGTTTGTAGGATTTTTTTTTTCTAGTGTTATTTTGACTATCTAAATCTTTTTTTTTTTTTTTTTTTGGTCTTTTTCGTTTTTATCGGTACCAGGGATCGAACTCATGACTGCCTGCTTGCAAGGCGGGCGCTTATGCCGCTGAGCTAAATCCCCAGCCCCCTATCTAAATCTTTTGCATTTTCTCTCTTTTTTGGATACAAGATGTAGCTATGTAGTTCAGACTGGCCTTGAAATCACCATGTAGCTCAAGCTGGCCTCTTGAACTTATGGCAACCACTCTGCTTAGCCTTTTTTGTGTTGGGATTACAGCCTGGCACACGTGAATTTTAGAATCAGTTTGTCAGTTTCTTTTTTTTTTTTTTTGGTACAGGGATCAAACTCATGACCTCACACTTGCCAGGCAGGTGCTTATGCTGCTGAGCTAAATTCCTGGCCCCACTTGGTCTATTTCTGCATCTTTCTTTCTGTAGAAATTTAGTTTTATTAACCTCTGGATTTTTGTTGGATTTTATAGGTTGGTTTGGAGAAAAATGAATCTTTTCTTGAGTAATGTGTATTTCTTTCTTCCTTTTTTTTTTTAGTACCAAAGATCAAACTTTTGACCTCTCACTTGCCAGGCAGGCAATTGTGCCACTGAGCTAAACCTCTAGCCCTGTTGATGTAATTTCTTTCTAGCAGTATTCTGTAGAAGGTGCAAGTCTTTCACATCTTTTGTAACATTTTTTTTTCTAAATCCCCAGCCCCCCTGTAACATTTATTTTGTATTTCAGATTTCTTTAGTGCTATACTAAATAGTGTATTTTTTAAAAATGACTTTATTGATTCCTCAGGCTATAAAACTGACTTTATATATCAATATTAATATATCTTGCACTATTGCTAAACTCACTGGCTAGTTCTAGTAGCTATTGTATAAATTGTTTGGTGTGAGTTCAGGTTGTCTCTAAACAGGTGTTTTTTTTTTTTTTTTTCCTAATTTAGTTGCCTTTTATTACCATTCCTGTCAGTTTATATTGAGTACGTCAGTACAGTGTTGATTTGAATAATGACACTACTTATGGGCTTATTGTAGTAGCTACTTTTCAGGTTTAGAAATTATCTATTCCAGTTTTATGAGGGTGTTTGTTATGACTTGAGAGTTGATGTCTTAATCTGTACAAGCTTTTATTCATGCTTCTATAAAAGAATACTGTGTACTGGGTAGTTTTTAAATGAAAAATGTATTTCCTTCATTTCTAAGGCTAGGAAGTCTAAGATCTAAGCACTGGCAGATTCAGTCAGTTGAGGGACCAGCTTCCAGGTTCAGAGTCTGAGGCTTCTTTCTATGTTTTCACTTGGCAGACAAACTAGCCAGCATTCTTGATTTGTTTATTTGTTTGTGTTACTAGGATTGAATCCAGAAGGTCTTGACACTCAGCTACATACCAATCTCTTAAAAAATTTTTTAAAAAATTTTGAGACAGAGTCTCATTAAGATACTCAGTTATCCATGTGCCATCCTCCTCCCTCTCAGAGTGCATTTCTATTTTTTAATGTGGTGAATTACATTGTGCTTTGTTGGTTTTCCAATATTACGCCAACTTGTACTCCTAGGATTAAAAACCCCAGTTTGCATAATGGGCCCTTCTTATTACATTGTAAGATTTAATTATCTTAAATTTTAGATTTCTCTGTTTGTTTTGAGACCATCTTGTTATGTAGTCCTGGTTGGCCTTGAACTCACTATATAATATCAGCTGGCCTCAAACCTAGTGGTCCTCTTGCTTCAGCTTCCTCGAGTAGTGGAATTACAGTTGTGTATCACCATGCTTGGACTGTATCTTCCTTCATTTTTTTCCCTCATCGGTCTGGCCAGGAAATTTACTGATTTTTATTGATGTTGAAGAACTAGGTTGTTGGTTTTCTTTATTATGTTCTGTTTCACTAATTTGGTAATATTGTTTGGTCTGAAGGCTACTGTGTTTCCTGTCAAAAAGCATTTCAGCTTTCTTTTAGTTAGTGTTACAGTGTTATATATTTTATTCTTTCCCTTTTTTCTTTTTTTTGGGACAGTGTCTCACTATATAGTTCAGGTTCACTGTGTAGTAACCCACACTGGCCTTGAACTCAACAGTGTTCTTTTACCTCAGTCTCCCAAGTGCTGGGATTACAGGTGTGCACCACTGCACTCAGCTCCTTTTATTTTTATTTTATGTAAATATTTAAAACCCATGTTTTTTGGCAGCATATACTTGGGTCTAGGATTTTTTTCTTTTCTTTTCTTTTTTTTTTAAATCAGTACGGGGAATTGAACGCACAGCTACACACTTGCAAGGAAGACGCTTATGCCGCTGAGCTAAATCCCCAGCTCTTTTTCAGTCTAATCTAACAGCCTGACTTTTCATTTGACATTTAATGTGCTTATTGACATGGTGAAGTTTGAGTCTGTCATCTTGTTTTCTGTTTGTCCTGTCTGTAGTTTATTGTTTTTTTTTCTTCGATCTTTAGATTGTTCTGAGTTGTCATCAGCGCATGACACAGACACCAGCAATTCAAATAAAAGTAAATGGAT